TAGACATCATGAAATAGTCTTGATAATTTATTCTTCTATGCATTATCATTCATTGATTAGACAAGACAGATACGCTGTCTTCTTCTTCTCCTACGTTTCGTTCTTTCCCAAGCAAGTTGATATGGTTGATCTTAATGATTTTATTTGGTTTAATACACAATAATGACTACTAGTCAAGAGAAGTATTTTCTGAATGGATTTTTTTCCCGACAGAACAACATGCAAAGGATACAATTATGATATTTGACGAAGAAAATGAATTTGCGCGTGGAAATTTCATGATGAAAAACGTAGAAAAGAACGTCTTTTAGACGATTTCAATGGATACGCAATTGAAAAAGTTTTCCCTGGCAGACTTCTCTTTTTAATCAAAGCAAAGAGAGTAGTGATTAATGTACGTACTCAGATAAAAACTCTCGATAAGATTGCCTTGAGCATATCAATGAATGGGCTTCAGTCGGAGTCAAACAACAAGAAACTAGATATAAAATTATAGTAAAAATGCGCTACTATTAACTAACTTTTCTTTGAATAGCTTGTCGTTCTATTCATGCGGATAATTTCTTTCAGACTTGACTTTTTTCCTTAACTCGATTTATTTGTTTGAAGACAAGCGGAACAGGCGATATAAAACTCATTCAATGTTTGGCTTTGCACTTGTTTATATAGTAAACAAATCGTTTCTTTCGTCTAATTCACTTCTTATGAAAATATTTCTGTCGTACGACAAGGTCAAATCGAATTTGATGTTTAATTATCTTTAGAAAATAGTTAACACGTTGTGAGATCTGTCAAAATAACTCTTTTCTAATTACATTTAATTAATTTGTTAGGTGAGCGTTGATGTTTTTGAGTTCACAGAGTGGAAGTCAATTTTCGAGTTGGCTGCTGTAAAACAAAGGAGTTTTATTTAGAAAACAGAGTAATATGGCCGTTTGTCATGAAATACTCATCGGATAGATCTAAGAGTGACCGTACACGGCTACGAACGTACAAAAACAAAAAATGTTAAAATCAGTGGAGAAAATTTGAAAATGTCAGCTGAGATTTTGGTTTATTGTGCATGATTGCGCTTTTTCAATGCTCGAGCACGAACGCCACCTAAAACATACATTGTCACTTTGTTAGAAAGAAATTCCGGTAGGAGTGATTGACCAAAATCCTAAGTACATAAATGAAACATATTATTTTATTTGAGAAGCGTTGCACAATTTACTTGAAGATCATGTGGCCAGTAACCGGTTGTAAATGGAAGTGAAACGCGATCAATAGCACTCGATGCGAATTGTTCGGGCGTTGGAGAAAATAAAGATGGCTTGCGAATACCGGATAATTTAGTAGCTACAAAACCAGGACATAACGATTGAATCAATACACCACGTGATGCGCATTCCGCTGCTAATGATCTACAAAAGATGATTTTACTCCGAAGTTATCTCAATACTTCACTAACCTGGAAAATAAATCGACAAAACCTTTTGTGCCAGAATATAGACCTAATAAAGGTACAGGTCGTCGGCCGGAGACACTCGATAGGTTAACGATAAGACCACGGTGTTTCTGAAGCATATCTGAATATCGAGTATAAATGATAGGGAAGAATTTGCGAAAGAGTCTTGTAAGAGCAAATACACACCTGGCAAAATCATCTGAGTGAGATAGGCAACGGAATCCACATTGCATCGAATCATGTTGTTCACTAATTTTGCACTGTCTTCTACTTTATCAAAGAATTCCGGATAATCATACGACATTCCAACATTGTTAACTAAGACGCCAATGTCCAAACCGCGAATTTCCTCACGAATGGTTGAATAGATCGAGTTATCTTCTAGATAAAACAAAACTCTTCGATCTTCCTACATCATTAACCTATTAGTCTTACTGGTGAAATCAACAGCGATAGTTTTCGTTTGTACATTGGCATTTTTACTATGGATTTCTTTCGCTACTTGTTCTAATTTTTCCTTTGTTCGACTAATTAAAATCACGCTCATTCCTATATCGAATAATCACAAATTTTCATATCTTTTATCATATATTTGTCTACCTCGTTTAGCTAACTCAATGGCATATGCTCTACCAATACCATCTGTGCAACCGGTAACCAATGCCCATTCACCAAAGTTTCGTACATTCAGTTTCACTGGACAAAGAAGTCGATAGAGTAACGAAGCGAAACGTGCAGTCACATACACTAGTGCAAACGCACCCGTTACACCTAAGAAACCCATTTCACAGTGATTTTTCGGTTACCTATTTGATAAATAACAACGTCCGTAGAACGAGAAAATATTTGTTTTTTATTATGAATTTTCGACCAATGAAATACAATGCGTCCAGAGAATATTCTCTGGATGATATATAGAAGAAAGAAAGAACGTATTGTGTTTGTTCGTTTTGTATTTGCACGTCTTCTTTACATCGTTTACAACGTGGTGTCAAATATTGAAGATAATTAAAATAAATGGCTGACTATCTCGCATCAATATTCGGAACTGAAAAGGATAAAGTCAACTGTTCGTTTTTCTTTAAAATTGGTGCCTGTCGACATGGTGAACATTGTTCAAAATTGCACAACAAACCGACATTCAGTCAAACCATCTTATTGAAGAATTTGTACTTAAGCTTGGAAAATAGTTCACAAAAAGCCGATAAATCATTTATCGCCGATGATATTACTGAAGAACGTATTCAAGAGCATTTCGATGATACGTTCGAAGAATTGTTTGTTGAATTAGAACGGAAATATGGTGAAATCGAAGAGATGAACATTTGCGATAATCTTTCGGAGCATTTAGCTGGTAAATTGATTCGAAATGACATCGACATATGTGTTCATGTTTTCCATTTAGGTAATTGTTATGTAAAATTTCATTCTGAAGAAGACGCTGAAAAAGCTGTTGTTGATCTTAACAATCGTTGGTTCGATGGTCGTGCTGTCTATGCGGAATTAAGTCCTGTAACTGATTTTCATGAAGCTTGTTGTCGACAATATCAAATGGGGTAACTTAATTTCGATATTTTTCTGATTTTCCACTCGATGAATTCTCGCCGTATAATCAGCTCAGAAATTTCCCGTAAAACTTTCCTCGCCTGACAGAAATCACTTGCACAGACCTGTTTCGACTCTTGAATTGCTTTCTAGATAGGAAACTTGTGATTATCAAGCAAATTTTCAACTAAATATCTTTTCCGATAGAATTCCGTAAGCTATTGTTCACCTTTGTATCGTGAATTATTCATTCCTATCTTATAGATGGCCTTGTTATTTCAGTTGAGTTCACAATATTCGTCCTCTAAACGGTATTTAATCAGATATGAGTAAAATGATTTTATTGAACATTTTTTTCAAGGGCTTTACTTATCTTAGGCAGACGCATGGCTAACCTTCATATTCAAAACTGAGTATCGATGCACTTAAATGGTGTTTTCTTTTTTTTTCATAGGGATTGTCCTCGTGGTGGCTTCTGTAATTTTATGCATCTGAAACCGGTAAGTGAAGATGAAATGTAAGTTTTTCATTGTACAGTCTTCGTTGTGTTTAGATTTCGAAAGACCTGCGAAAACGTCTGTATCAACGGCGTCAGAAGAAGACACATGGTGGTTCGCGGTCACAATCCCGCGATCGTTCACGATCTCGCGAACGAGATCGTCGACGTTAAATGAAAAGTCACAATTCAGAATAACAAAAATGAACATTTTCTATTCACTTGAATAAATTGAACTGGAAAAAAACAAAAAAAAACCTCAAATAAATAAATTTGTGTTGTTTATTATTTCAGATCATGATTGAAAATCATTCCAATACGAATGGAGACATCGATCGATGGATTGAATGGATTAAAGATTGCAAATATTTGCCTGAAACGGACTTTAAACAACTATGCACAATTATCTCAGATATTTTCTTTGAAGAATCGAATGTTCAACCCGTTTTCTCGCCAGTAACCATCTGTGGCGACTTACATGGACAATATTATGACGTTCAAGAATTATTTCGAACCGGAGGCTATCCGCCCGATACGCAGTATATCTTCATGGGAGATTTCGTCGATCGGGGTTACTACAGTTTAGAAACATTGACACAATTACTTGTTTTTAAAGCTAAATGGCCCGATCGTGTAACGTTGTTACGTGGTAATCATGAATCACGACAAGTAACTCAAGTTTATGGATTTTATGATGAATGTATGAAGAAATATGGCAATGCCAATTTATGGAGATTTTGTTGTCGTTTATTTGATCTTATGCCAATTGGTGCATTGATTGATAATGAAGTTTTATGTATTCATGGTAAACATTTGAATAGCGAAGGAAAAACGCATTGATTGGATTCGTTGATACTTGTGTTTTTCTAGGTGGACTTTCACCAAACATAGGTACAATTGATCAAATGCGCACGATTGAACGTGATCAAGAAATTCCTCATCATGGCGGTTTCTGCGACTTGATGTGGTCCGATCCCGATGATATTGATTGGTGGGCGATATCACCACGCGGCGCAGGATGGTTGTTCGGTGAAAAACCAACAAGTCAATTCATGCATAATAATCAATTAAGTTTGATTTGTCGTGCACATCAACTTGTTCAAGAAGGTAAAATTTGCATTTCTTTCTTGCTTGTTACGTTCGACAGTCTGTCGTGTTTTTCTTCTAGGTATTAAATTCATGTTTGACGAACATCTTGTCACTGTATGGTCAGCGCCCAATTATTGCTATCGTTGTGGGAATATCGCTGCTATTCTTGCTTTTCATACAGCTACGAATCATGAGACGAAGTTATTCAATGCTGTTCCTGAAGATCAACGAGTTGTCCCATCGAAAACGACGACGCCGTATTTTCTTTGAAATACTCAAATGAAGTTTTAAGCAAAAGACTATTGAGAATTCTACATTTTTTTTGATTGTCTTCGTCCTAACAGTGTTTAATTGTGTACAGCAAGAAAAAACGAATATTTTTTTTCTTCTAGATTTTTTTATCCGTATGCATTTATAAACATGGACGCAGAGGATGAGCAAAGTAAGAATAACTGAAAGAAATCAATAAACATTTGATTGGAATGTATTTTTGAAGGTTTGGAGGAGCGTCTTCGTGCACAGGCTAATAGTAATACGAATAAACCATTGACAACTCGGCAAACATCGACCAATAAATCAAGCCGGCATACATTTAAAGATGAAAAAATTGAATCGCACACTGATAAAAACGGCATTTGTTATCGAGTTGGAGGTAAGCAACGATCCACATACACTTTTCCGTATCATATCGTTTCTCATTTAGATCATGTCTATCTGGAAACAAATAAACAAGCCGAACCTTACTCAATTGCTTCGATCTTGGATTTCCGTTTAGTAAGTGATCCCATCATTCCACAGAAATATTTATCTATTTGACATTTTTAGACAAGAAAAGACCATGTTATGTTAGAAGTTCGATGGTATTATCGACCAGCTGAGATTCCACCTAATCTTTACCATCTTCTCATCGAAGATCGATATCATGAAAATCGTAAGTATGACTTATTTGTTCATTCGAAGTTTTATATTGTCACATTTTACTTTTGTCATCATCTATCGCCGGTGACAGTCAATATCTATCTATATAAATCATCCGATAAGGATATTTCTTGTAAAATGTCATTCTTTTCTCGTTCTATTCTCTAAGGCAGATCTAAACGAAGAGTCTCCAGTTAAAATCAAAGCAACAAATGCAAATGATTACTAATCATTCTTTCGATTGTCATTTAACTAAATCAAAATTAGTTATTTGATATATAAATAAACGATTGAGAAATTCATACGTGTCGAAATGCAATATTGTAAATTTTAACAAAACATTCCTTTCCTTTCTATTAATTCGTTCATATAATCCCTGGATATAGAGAAAAGAATGTCCCTGCAAGTCTATTCATCATCATCATCATTCCTATCCCATATGATAAGTCGAAAGAAAAAGAAATTCATGTATATAATCATACATTTATAAACACATTCTTCATATCTTCGTCAGAAGAACAATGTGTATTTATTCCATGATGTGTTACTACAGCGATTACTAGTTTACAAGAGTAACTGTCATAGTTAGTCAAGTAAGTTATTCTCTAACGTTCTTATGCTTTATCGACATTTTTTCTCGTTACTCTATTTGTGTCGAGAGATGCTTTTTCCGTTTTTTCTTCTCTCGTAAGATTGACAGATTATCTTTGAGACAATATATGTCAATCTGATTCATTTACGTTGAGTTTGACTATGAATAACTAAACAAAATCAATAGTTGTAAGCAGAAGTGTAATATTGATGTTTTCTTTTTTCTATTTGGTTAAAAAGTTCTATTCGTCATCCTATTTATATATCTATGTAATGTAGTCGATGAGTGTGTATGTGTGCTGATTGTTTATTGCTCTTCTCGGCAGTATGTACTCGACACACGTATGTTTGCATCAAGTACTGTAGTTTATCGTCATTGTCGCTTTTCTTCTTCTTTTCTCGTGGTCTTTGTCTCTCAACAGGAGCTCCTGCTTACTCTCTTTAGCTGCCGGAGGAACAAATAGAGAAGAACAATATCACATCATAGCCGCCGACACAATGATGTTATGTATGGTGTCGTGTGTCGTTTTTCTTTTTTTTTCTCTTCTTTTTTTATTTTATGTATTTGATTGATTTTTTCCTCCTCTCCCTCTCGCCTTTTCACTTTGCCTCTTCGTATGCGCATCGATATTCTTAAAAGTACACACTATTACAGGTGAGTACAGACATCTAGTATCATCATCATCATCATTATTGTTATTTCTATTATGATTATTATTATTATTATTTCATATAAATCGATGTAATTAGTCGTAGACATAGCACATAGTCATCTATCATTAAAATTCAATTCTCTTCAATGGCATATAGAGAGATAAGAGCGCTACTAGTACTATTGACAAGTGGTATTGATCGGCATGTGTGGAGAGATTTCCTCTCTTTCTTTCTTTCTTTCTTACTCGACATACTGACATCTAGTACTCATTGGTGATAGTTGTGTAAAGAATTTCTTTTTTTTTCTTTCTCTGTAGCCACTCTCCATTCGTCGTCTTTGCCTTCAACTATAACATATACTCCTCTTTCACGATATGTATGTGTTCGCGTTTGCATTGAGACCAAACATATAACCACTGTCAAATTATTGTTAGAATGTATATAATTCATCGATGAAGAATGATGAGAGTCGAAAGGAAAGAAGAAGAAGGAGAGAGAGGGAGAATAGAAAGGAGATAGCGCGTGAAAATGAGCGACGAACAACGGAGGACTCGACGAAACACAGATAATAATCAGTCTAGTGTAATCATTGATCGACGGATGAGTGATGGCGGCAAGTCGTTCTTCTTCTCCTTCTCCTCTCTTTCTCTCTTCACTCAAATAACAATAATAGAAATCCTTTTAAGTAGTAATGCGTATGCAAGCAACAACGAAGTACAAACAAAATATCAACTTTTCTTCTTGTAAATATCCATATGATGCCATTTGCTCTTGCTTTATTTTGTACTCATTATCAATATGTGTTTCCTATTTATCGTCATCGTCTTGTTTGATTTATCGTTACATACATATGATAGCATGTCTGTGTAATTATCATTTTTCACTTTCTATAGTCTTAGTTGAAGAAAAGAAATATCTATTACCCCCATCATAATCATACGGTATTTTCTCTTCTACTTCTTTATTTTCTGTGCGTTTCTGTTGTTGATTATTTAAGAATAACAACAACGATTAGAACAAGCGAACCATCACTACCGCATCAATTAGAAATATACAGAAAAGAAAAAAGAAACATAAATATTAAAAAAAAGGGAGTCTTATTCAGGTATTCATATTTCGTGTCATTATATGGTTTGGGTATGCATATGTATGGGTTCATCGAGCCGAACAAACAGAAACACATCCGATACCATAAGTGATTGATTAATCGGATCAACTGACTCTTCTTTCTCGTTCTGTATATATTTATATATGTATGTTCGCATCATTCTTGATCGAGGTATCTCTTCTAGGTTTTTTTTGTTTCTTCTGTTCTTTTCGTCAACGACCTTTTATTCTCTTCGTCTATCAGAAGCAAAACATTCGAGTTAAAACATGTCTATATATTATATTCACACTTTGTTTTATCACTAAACGGCAAGAGATAGAACATTGTTGTATACATTAGAGTATCCGTTGTGGCTCATGTCACACTAATCAATAACCTAATGTTCCTAATATATCTTTATCTAAAACAATCCAATGACGAGCGATAAATTGTTGCTGGATGCATCGTTTGTTGTTTTCTTTTCCTTCCTTTTCAACAAGCAGCAGTCATTGCACACTCTTAAGACACTATTGTATAGTAAAAAGAAGAAATGAGAGAACGAATGCACACATACATATTTGTATATATATATATATAGAGAGAGAGAGAGAAGAGAGAAAGAGAAGGACCGTGACACGACGTTAGTTTGTTCCTTATTAAGGTGACACTAGCAACAACGATCTCTCACTCTTTCGTTGTGTCTCCATGTACGCTGCTCTTTCTCTCCTTCTCTATCACTTGTGTATGTCCATTATGATTGGCGTTGTTCTATTCCCTTTCTTTTCATACTTAACATACATATTTTGCATCATATACTTCACGTCCAAATGGAGGTAATTTATAAAGAATAAACGAAAAAATTATTATTTTAAATAAGCAACAAATTATCAATTTCATTTGTTTTCTCTCTGATATGTATATTATTTATTATGCGATTATATCTATCAGCATTATGGGCCTTTTTCTCCGCTTTTTTTACTCTACTATGAGTATATATATATATATGTCTTATCGCACTTGGCAAGTTGATCGTTCCTCTTCATATATGTATGTATGTGTGCATGTTATAATTTCTGGTTAATGACATACACAGTAGAACGACAACGCCGATTCGCGCGTCGCACTAATATTCATTGCTGTGCTTGAATATGTACATATATGTATGTGTTGTACATTGCTTTGAATTCATCGACGAATTGTGAGTTGAGTTAAGAGAATAGAAGTTGAACACCCTTCTCAATAGATCGGTCAAATGGGCGTGTCGACACGCGATCTTACATATTCATGTTTTTCTTCTCCAGTTTTCTTTTGAAGGTGTTTATTTTATTCTTTGATATAGATTCTTCGTTTTCATTTAATCGATCAGAAAAACTTTTAAATGTCAATAATCTACACCTGATAAGCTGTCGTGCTGTACTTCGACTAACAGAAGTATGATTGATTAGTTTCAAGGACTGAAGCGAGCTCTCGCGTCTTCTTTGCTTTTTCTTTCCTTTTTTTCAGTTTTCTTTCTCTGTCGAGTCGTTTGCTTCATCGTGCACCCTCACACTGCCTTTTTGATTCTGTATGAATGTACGTGTGTGTGCGAGAAATAAGAAGAGAGTGCGAATAAGCAAGAAGAGTAGTCGTTGTCGTTGTCGACATGATTTCCGTTCATTCATCTAAAAGAAAACTAAATTACTTGATGCTTTTTGCTGTTTTTTTTTCTATTGAAAGAAAAAAAATGGTATATATCTAATATAGACAAAGATTTGTTTATTTACTTATTGATATATCTTATTTTCTTTCTTAAAGAGGGTAACAATCAAACATCAACATCAATTAAAGATAAACAAACGAAAGATTCTGGTATAATACAAGATCCGAATATTATTGGTCGAGAATTATTCGTATCGGAAATCAAAGAATTCTATCCGGCCGTACACATTAAGTAAGAAGAATATTTAAAACCTTATTGACTTGAATAAAGAATCGAATGAAAGAAAAGAACTCAAGAGAAAGTAGAGAAAAATGACGACCGACAACTGTAATCTCTTGACAAGGAAAAGAGAGAGAGGAAGATTGAAGAATGTGTACCTCTTACAAACATGCGTACACTTTTCTATGTACAGAGATTTGTTTTGTCTGTCTAAACATTTTTGCATTCAATTTCAGAGGCCGGTGCCGTGTCGCGCATTACCAAGATATTGAAGAAGCTCGTGCATTCAAACCCGATCCGGATACGTTCTTTTATATTTTAACATATAACCCGGAAGCACGCAGACTGGCGAACACGCAAGGCGAAATTCGTGTTGGCCCATCACATCAAGCCAAACTACCACTTTTGAAATCCTATTCACCCTCAACATTAACAAATGGTCTTAATGATGAGATGCCAAGTTCTTTGCGCGAAGAATTATTGTGGAAGAATAAAACATCCGACATTGATTTATCCATGTACTTACAAGCAGCGAGATCGATTGCCGCGTTCGCTGGAATGTGCGATCGAGGTTTACCAGAAGATATGTATGATGTCGCGCAACGTGATGACACAACAATTAATGCATTAAATACTTTACATAATCACGATTATGATTGTAAGCGTGCTATACAATCGTTAGTAAAGTGTCCAATACCGAAAGGTATCGATCGAAAATGGTCAGATGATGATCAGAAGAAGTTCATCAAAGGTTTGAGACAATATGGAAAAAACTTTTATCGCATACGAAAAGAACAGCTACCACATAAAGAAACATCCGATCTAGTCGAGTTTTATTATCTTTGGAAGAAAACTCCACAAGCGCAATCAAGTCGTCCGCGTCGTCGACAGCGTCCATGTTCAACATCGGTGAATCTATCGACGACTCCTACACCAGCGAAACAACGGAACGCGAAAGCAAACAATAAAGACGAATCTGAGCATAATTCCGACAATGACGATAACAATGCAACAGATACCGATGAACAATTTTGTCGACATTGTCAAACATCATCCAAAGATTTACAAGCAGGCGGACGTGATAGTCAACAACTATGCTACGATTGCCGCATGTATTATAAAAAATATGGCGAAATGCCAATTATTAGTCAAGAACCTCCACCATATCTATTCAAACCATTGAATGAAACAAGTCCAAGTAATAGTACAAGTAGTAAACGAAAACGAAACAGATTGAAGCAATCGTCGTCGCCAACTCCATCGGCATCATCGGCGCCTGTGGCTTCGACACCAACTGTTGACAAATCTGAAGAGACCACGAAGACATCTCTGACGCGATCGAAAAAGAAAACCCGTGTCAATGAACAAACATCATCTGGCAAACAAGAGGGCGAAGACGAAGAAGATAGCGGCAAAGACGAATCGACGGTCAACAATGGAATCAAAGCAGAAGAACAAGAAAATGAAAAACCACTACTAGGTATGCTTCATTCCATCGAAATTTGAACAAAACAAACTATTTTCTTGATTTCAGAATCATCAGAGACGATTCCTCCGATAACAACATCAGGTTTCCTAATTAAAACAGATGATCTACCAACGTCTACACTTTCCCAGCCATTACCATCATTGATAATCAATTCGACCACATGTAAACAGGAAATTAGTTCGCCAACATCAGCATCTGCTGGTAGCGGCCCAGCTAAAATAACGAATAAGATTCTCATTGATCACACAAAACAAAGCAATGCAAATCTAATTGTATCTCCATCATCATCATCATCAGCAGCAGCAGCAATCAAATCAGAGCAAACAAATTCAAACGATTCAACACTCCATTCAAATCTTTTACAACCATCATTATTATCTTCACCTCGTTCAGCATTTTCTCGCACATCAAAAACATCTATTCATAGTCCAGATCAACGACGCATACCAAAAGGTAATTTCTTGACAAACAAAATCAACCAAATGAATTCCATTTCGTTTTCTTTAAATCTAGAAGAAGCTGTTTCTCCATCATCGCATCGATCACACTCAAGTAGCCTTAATTACACATCAAAATCAACACCTATGCACCCAACGATACTCAGTGGCGATGTCACTCCGTCATCGTCTCTAAATATTCCACCCCCACCATTGCTAATACCATCATCGTTACACGAATCAAAAGATAATGATCTACTAACAACGGATATACCAGATGATGGCAATACATCAGATAATTCAGCAAATGGTACTAGTGAAGTCAATCATGATGATGGTCCTGCGCCAATGTTATGTGAAAGAGGTTTGCTTGCTATAACATTTATAACTAAAAAATATCTTGCTCTCTCCCTCGTAGAATGCTACAATAAATCCGAAGGAATCGTTTTATTGCAAGTGTATGATCGTTCGAAATCACAAAACTCTTGTGCACGTACTGATATCATGCTTAAACGAGGTTCACGTATCCGTCGCAAACCACAATCAACCAGCAATAATGAGAAACAGCAGCAGCAGCCATCACAACAACAACAACAACAACAACAACAACACCAACAATCTTCACAACATGACACTTCATCGATACCTTCGATGCCATCAGTACCACCGTCATCGGCGGCTGCAGCTGCGGCAGCAATGATGATGATGGGTATGAAACAAGAAGATCGCAATTTATCGGTACGTATTCAAAGATGAAGAAACGTATTTTTTATTGACTTACTTTTGTAGAAATTACCGTTTTCATTGGATAAAGGACCTCCTCTACTTCATTCATCTGGGCCGCCGCCACTCTTTCCACCATTGAATCCTCATCATGATCCATTGTTGATGAATCGTAATAATTCTCTATTTCATCCTATGCCATTACATGCTCTCTCATCCGCACATAAACCACCTGGATCTGGTGCTAGTGGCCCACCACCATTAAATTTTTCATTACCATTCGGCCCGTCTCCACATGATAATGGTGCACTACGTCAATTTGATCCATTGGGCTTGCGTCTAATGAATCCAGCAGCTGCAGCGGCTGCTCAACTATTCGCTGCTCAATCACATTTCAATGCTAATGCTAGCCGTCCATCTCCGAATGGCTTTGATCCGACAACAGCCGCTCTTTTGCTCGATCCACGCTATCGTAGCATGATTTCACCATTTGGTACCTCATCATCCGCCTCAACTGGTCTACCATCATCAACAGCAAATTCATCGTCATCATCATCCGCCAATGCTTCTAATAGTGCACATAGTCATTCACATGTTCATTCCCATTCTCATACACATCTTCATTTAAATAATAATGATTCGTCAGCATCGGGATCGACAAATAATTCAAATGGTCCTACATTACAACCACCGCCAATGATGCCATTTGCTAATTCACTTTCAAGTAAGACATTTCTCATACCATAATGATATCTATAAAATGACACTTATCATAATTTTAGGTCTTTCTCATGCCGGTCCACTATTACATCCATCTGGTCCACCACAATCACATTCGTCACCATCGATGGCAAGTCTCGAAGCAATGCATAACTTGTCACGTGAACGTGAATTGATGGCATTTATGTTTGCCAATAGTTCTCGGTTTGATCCCATGTCATTAGCACTTGCGGCTAATCCACTTCAAGTAAAATCGTTTTTTTCTTTGATTGAAAATGAACATTCAGTTGACTGTTTCATTGAACTATTTTAGATGCCACCACGTCATGAAGATCTCTCGCGGATGCATTCTCGGGAACGATCCTTACGTGAACATAGTGAAAATGAATTTCGTCGTTTGAATCTAGACGCTGAAAGACAGCAACAGCAACTTCGATTTCCATTTCATCCTCAACCCGATGACTTGCTTCGGTAAATCACTTCGTATACATAAACCAAATCATCCAATCCATTCCTTTCTTTTAGTCGATTCTAACCGATATTATTCTACCTGATATATATATACATATATCCCGACAGTGAAACTCAAATATGTCTCAATAATGTAAAAGTTTTTTCAAAAGATAGCTTATTATACATTCATATAGATTAGTTTAACTCTTCCGTCTCTCATCAAACAACAACAACAACACCTCCTTTCTCTTTTGTACTCGGTACTCTTCACCGTTCATTCTTCTTGTCATATTTTTGTTTATAAAATGTACAAACGATATCATCTCTTCTTTCATTGATTCACTCTCTCCCTTTCTTTTCCCTCTCTTCTCCTCACTGTTGTGCTAGTTTGTTGTGTTGGTCTGTTTTGTTTTCTTTTTCTCTTATTCTCTTTTGCAAAGTATTTTGTTTGAATGAAACAAAGAAATTCTTATATTCATCATAATATACTTCATTATATAGAAGATCAGATAAGAGTTCTTTTCTGTGTACTATGAACAAAATTTCATCAAGATCATTTTGTCTTTTTCTTCATCAATCAAAACGTTTCATAAATCTATTTAATAAAGAGAAAAAACATTATCTCAATCGATTTATCTATGAAATCGAATCCAAATACTCGAAATATCTCGTCACCAATGTCACATGAGTATTTTATTATCACTTCATTCAAACTTCGTCTAAACAATGACTGTATCTTGTGATTTTATACGTGAAGAATCATCGATTCAGTCAATATTTTCATGCTTACTTAGATTTTGAAGTATTTTATTTGATCCTCGTTACTATGTGACCACTAATTTCGTTTTTATGTAATATTTTCTCGATGGAAACAGCAAGTAAACAATCGAAGAGTAAATCCGATGAAAATCTCAATCAAATAACATGTCAATTAAAACACGCTATTTTTTCCAAGTGTATCTCGCATTATTTGATTAATAAAGTAGATGAGGTAAGTTCTTCACTGAAATCCTTTGTTTCTTAAACAATCATTCCAGATGTGGCTTCTCTATGAAAAACAAATCGATCAAATCCTTCAGGACAAACATCTTCATCCGAACTGTCCATCTACTCGATCAGATGTAAACTAAAATATTCTTGTAATTCTCAAATCATTGATCATTGTTCTAGACCATAACTAAACTCGAAGAATTCGCCAACAAACAACAACAAATAATTCTTTCGTGTCAACAGGATATTGATGCTTTATGTTCATCACATCTAAAGCATTCAGTTCCCGTTCAATCGACGAGTTTCAACTCGATTCATGTTCCGAAAACTCCTCGTTGTTTCAATCGTTTAGCTTTCAATTTCAACACTCATTTGTAAACGACAAACTTTACCGAATATGTTTTCAGATTTATTTTGATTACACAATTTGATTCGAAAACATAAAATGATTATACAAAAGAGAAAACAACAATTGAATACATATATTGAATACGGTTTATATACACACGACTACATCGAATGCTAATTATTCATTTTTCAACATATTTTTCTTATAACGTCCACGTTTATTTCCAAACCAATTGTTTACCTAAAATGAAACGAATCACTTTGTTTCGACGAACACTCAAATACGAGAGACTTACTTGAGAAATGGTGACACCACATTTACGGGCTAATTCTTCTTTGACTTGTTCCGATGGATAAGGATTCGATAAATGTGAATAGAAATATTCGTTTAAGATCTTTTGCGTTGTTTTGTCGAAATTTCGTCGTTTACGTCTAAATCAAACGAACATTGAACTCACATCGCCAATCGTTTAGTCACTTACCGTGCGTCGAGGAACCGTGTGCGTAAATTCATAACCGCTTCGCAGGTATTTTGTTTCAATTGGATTTGTATTAAGCATAGTTTCTTTCGAACAATTGAAATCATATGAGAAATTTCTTCGGGTGTTATTGGTCGAACGCGTGATTGCTCGTGAATTAAGGTAATGACATGCGTACAAAAATCATTGGAATTTTTGTCAAATTGAGCCAATTCAGTATGGTAAAAATGACGAATGCGATTTAACTTTTCTTCGTATTCAGGATGTTCGATCTCGATAGAATTATTCGCGGGTAAATCATTCGGATACGGATCGATAATACGTTCAGCTAGAAGCATCGTGTCAAGGCGAGCTAATTCTTGTTTATAAGACTCATCTTCGTGAGATATTTGACGCATATTCAGACCTAGAATCAACAAATATCCTTAGCGATGAGAGTCAGATTCGGCGATCTCACCATTTTTTTGTTTTATTTCCCGAAGTATGTCGAACAAAACGGGTTGAATCGGGTTCCGATTGAAAGCATCTTTATATTGCTGTGCATCATCTAATCGATCATTGACAATCGACATAATCCGATCAATCATCGGTAATTGCCCTTGATTGTTCATATTGGCATAGAACGCATTTTCTAACGGTGCTAAAACATGATAAGACGACGCTAATTGATCTTCAGTAGTCATCTGAAATAGATTCACAAATATTTCTACTACAACAAATTGTAAAATGTCTTTTAATATAACAACGAGAAGAAATACATAGATTCAAGCAGAAACGAGTAAAAAATACATGCAGAGAGAAAGATATCTGGTTTAGAATCGTCATGACTTCAGTAATCTAAAAAAAAAAGAAATATGTAAGTTAATCAAAAACAGGTATGAACTTCACCATCAGATAATGTGTTGGGTTGACGTGTTGCTTGTGAAGCGAGCTTAGCAGCATAGATATTCGCTTCTTCTTGGGTTTTGCTAATATTCCTTTTGTATCGAATGCGTTTATTACCAAACCAATTACTCACCTACAGAAGAAAATCAAGATGTTTCTTATCTATTTCTTTTAAATGCTGTGCTTACTTGAGCTACAGAGATTTGACACTGACGTGCGAGTTCTTCTTTTGCTTCATCGGAAGGATATGGATTTGACAGATGTGAATAGAAATATTCATTCAATGCTTCAGTTGCTAATCTACTAAAATTTCGTCGCTTTCTCCTGAAATAAAGATGAAATTCATTCGAAATATACCGCGAAGAGCTGTACTCTCTTACCTTGCATCAAGAAATCTCGAACGTAAGACCATCACTGCTTCGCACGTATTTTGTTTCAACTCTAACTGAATAGTTGAAAATTTCATTCGAATGATTTTCACCATTTGTTCGATTTCTTCTTCGCTAATCGGTCGAACTCGCGATTGTTCACGCAGGAGTGTCCGAACATGTGAACAAAAGTCATCGCATTGATTATTATATTTTTCCAACTCGAAATTGTACACTTGTTTTATCTGCAAGAATTTCGATTGGTATTCCGATTGATCAGAACAACTTGTCGATAGAGACCGATCGGAAATTCCTTCGGCATGTAACATATTATCAACCCGAATCAACTGTTCAGATGGCTGATCACCTACATTTGAATCATGTCGTCGATGAAGTACTAAATAGAAAAAAAATGGATCATTTTCAATTCAAGAATATCTATATTGCTTTACAAATTTTGTTTTTTATTTCACAAAGGACTTGATAAAATGCCGGATACAGCATATTCTTATTGAATTGACTCTTACAATCTTGAGCATTGTCTAGACGTTGATCGACAATGGTTAATACACGACTGATAATATCGTTGTCATTCGCATGTGGATAGTTATTCTTAAGAAGTTCATAGTTCTCTTCTGTCATATTGTCATTTATATTACTCAAGGTAGACGAATCTAAACCTTCATATACAGATAAATCGTTTCCAGCACGTTCATTGGTCGCTGAACTCATTGGAATACAATATCATAAATAAATAACGATGAAAGAAAGAAAGAAAGGAAGAAACAACTCAACATTTCCATTGGTTCTACTCTCATCAATAACAATAACCTTAATGACAAGTACGACAGCGACATCTACGAAGATACATATATATACACATTGATGAAGACAAGTTCATCAGCAAATTGACGGAGATTATGTTACAGATAATCAAAACAAAATATTTTCTTATTGTGCAAGAGTACTGTGAGAAGAAATTTGATCAGTGCTAAGTCATAATTTCTTGCGCGTAGCCTTGTGATAGGAAATAATTTCTTTCATTTTGGAACTATATTTCTTTAAGAACAAAACATTGCACGAAGAGAAACAACAGTAAAATGCTCGAGATCGAATCTGGACGGATGGTTCAAGTTTGAATCTTGTCTGCTAGACGTCGAAATCGTATCAATGCTTCGGCAAGATAAGCAAGACATGCCGCAAAGCCAAATGTCTATAAAAAAAGGAGAAGATTTGCCATTGAGAGCAAAGGTCGACAGAACTTACAGCTGCAGCTGCTGCTGAACCAATCTGTGGTTTGATCGAAGGATTCGATGTTGAGAGAATCGAATTTGTGACATAGGAATTCGTTAATCGTTTTCTCATTTTATCTTCCCAACACTAGAGAATAGTAAAATAATGTTGAATACGACTGCGGTCTCCTGTTTCACTTACAGCAACAAGTATAGATATAACAAGTATTGCAAATGCGTAGATAACACATAGGACAGCTACCTAAAGATGACAAATATCTATGAAGACGACGTAAGTACAAAAATAAGACGAGAAATGTTTTTACCACAGTCGATAGACGATGCCAAGAATATCGATAGCGAAAAGCAAATATAATATGTGCAAATAGTGAGCAGAATGTCAAAAGAAAGATCGTTATTAAAATGCCTTGGTCAGCTTGTTTTATCGTGTAAACATTAATATCATAAAATATCGTTAAATCAGCATTATTCTGCAAGAAAAATTACATGATTGACAGATACATATGTGTACATCACTGCATCGTATTTTCGGCACTTACAGTCTGACTAAGATTAGAAGAGGAATCGACAAGTTGACCGTATCCTGTCGATGCTACACAAACAGCAATGAATCCACCAGTCAGCAATGTCTGATAAGAAGAAGAAGAAGAAGAGATTTATTGTATGCAGGGGCAGATTAGCCTCTTTTTTATACGTACTAGTTCAATTAGATTGGCACAACCGAGAAGTGAAACAATGTAACTTTTATCGACCATACTGTAAATTTCAAGTAAATGAATTAAGATTTAGACAAAAGTGAAGTACATCGAAATGCTCTGAAAAGAAAATTAACTATGATTTGATTGTAATTCCCTATTCCTTTCACAACATCGCATACGCCCTAAGAGATAGAAATGCGTAGAGATAATACTAATAGGAATAACAGAGAGAAGAAGAAGAAGAAGGAAGAGAAGAAAAGAAGGAGTGGAGAAGACAGTAGAAAAAGAAAAATATGTTCGTCGCAATAAAACACATCATTGGAAGTTCACTATATCACGGATGAAGACGAAGAAAAACATTGATTACCTCTATATTTTAATAAAATTTCAAGATCTTTAAATGTAATTTCATTGTATACAAAACGAGTTGACATTCTCTTTTTTCCGTGTCATTCAACATTCTACTAACGATGATTTCTCACGAACTATATCTCCTGTCTCCGACTTTGTCTGTAATAAGATCTAACGAGCTGATTTTCTTGTTCTTATTCTTCTCATCACGTCATTCGTCGTACGATTCTGTTCATTTCCAGAGCGGAAATACTAACTTGATAGGAAACTAATATATATTTATTTGTAATGCAACCGCGATCGAACCCAAGAAATTCCAAGGTCCTTTTCTTTTGTTTTTTCCTCCCTCTTCATCTTCTATTTGCTTTGTCAATGCTACTTTCCTTTTGATTTCTCCAATTTAGTTGAATGTCAATCAATATTCATCTAAGATTCTTTTTTTTTCGAAATAACAAAAGAAAAATCTTATCCAATAACCGTTCGACGGAAAAAGAAAGAGAAGAATATCGACGTTCGTCAAAGATACGGATAATAGAAGTGCTAATAGCGTAATTATATATATAGCACCCCAGGGTTTCTCTATATACTGTTATTAATAAACAGCATTTGGTTAACCAAAGAAGCAGGAATTGAGTTTTTATCGGAGATTAATCAATTTGGCCGTTGAGGAAGAGAATTTTCATGTTTGGATTGTCGTTGTTAATGAGAATAAGGAAAATAATCATTGAAAGGGCCTGCAATTTGATGAACTGCATTGAATTCTACGCAGTGTATTGAATTATATCTGAAGATTATCAACGATTGTCATGTACTTGAAAAGAATATTTCTGTTTCTGACAGATGTCATCGAAAAGAAATAACATTCCTTTGTTTTCTCTGTAACCAGCGAAATAACAACTATATATTCCATGATAAATATTTGTTAAAGTCGGGTGCACAAGATTCTCGCAACGAGAGTCAAGGAAATATCATTGGCTTTGGTAATGAAATTCTCCCGAGTGTAGCCGAAACGTGTGAATGACACTAGTACATGCGCGAAAATGATAAATTTAGAAACTAAATTAATTACATATAATTCAATTGGCTATGTATCGGATTTTCTATGTGTGAAAATATTCTTTTTTGGTTTGAGAGATTTCAAAAATGAGTCGTCTGCGATGTTCTTCATGTAACACTACGGTTAAATTGAGTAGATGTTGGAGAAATGTTTTCCCACTTTTAGAGGAAATTCATCTGTCCTGAAATCTTTGTTTATTTTTCTTAAAACGCTCATCTACAATCCTTACCAGTAAGATCTATTACAGAAAAATACAAATATGTCAGCTTATTCATGACTTGCACGTTGAAAGAATCGCTTCGGATCGCATTGTTTCAAGTAAGGAGACATTTCATCTTTTAATATCAATTGTGTCAATTGAGTACCGGTTGCTAAACTATTCAAAATACCCCAACAACTATGACCCTAAATAAGAGAAGACATTGAGAACATTTACATGTGAAAATTCTCGTATTACCGTAGCAATATAGACATTATTCAATCCATAGAGACGGCCAATCAGAGGAATTCCATCATTTGACTGTGGTAGATAACATCCTTGTCTAGTTTCGATATTCGCATCTTTTAATGTTGACGCAACACGAACAGCAATGTCACGAAGACGATCACAACTTTTTTCGTTGATTGGCACCGCATTCGCGTCGTCTGGTAATTCCTGTGAAGGTTTCTCTCCAAATCCACATACATAGATATCACCGTCTTGGAAATAAAAATTTCTCTCGTCTTTCGAAATTTCACAATAAAAGGAAGAATCTACTTGGTCGTGGATAGATTTCTGGGTCTGCTATAGTGCCGTCATTGGATTCATAAGCGAGAAAGAATGCATAGGGTTCGGTCGGTTGATTTCCTTTGAATATGATACTATGTGCTTTTACACCGCTGATAGCGTCTAATTGGTGAGAAATATTTTCTTTGAATATCATTGCATCTCGGAACCAGGGTGCCGCTTGATCTAAAGTAACGAGTTCTGCAGATCCAATCTATATTTCTAGTGTTCTTACAAGTCCATGGGCCCATGGCAAGAATGAATATATCAGCTTCGATTGGATCTTGGTTTTCAATCAATAATTTCACTGCTCGCACCGGTGATGTTTGATGATGAACATCTCTTTCTGTATGAGTAGGAATAGTTTCAAAAAGAAAGCCATTGGCTCTTCCGATTACGATTCGTCCACCTCGATTCTCCAGAATTTTAGCTAGAGCATTCGTCAATAATCTAGAAAATGATGTTAGTCGAAAGGAAACATAATTTGATCGAATCCATACCCAGGATGAACTTGCGCTGTGGTTTCTTCGTTTCCTAGTGTTTCCTGTTCGTCAACTTCGGTCGTTACCCATTTCGGTAGCGTTGACTTGCTGTCTGTTCGTTTTGTCGATGATTCTGCCTCATTTATTGATAAATTTAATGTCGTTAAACGACGATACATAACATCAGTAGAGAATTCTTCTTTTAAACGTTTGGCCAGATCATTATGAGCTTGAAAACTCGATTCAGAAAATTTTCCCTCATCACCCGTACGCCAATTCTTGGCAAGAAACCCACCAGCACGTCCACTAGCAGCACAAGCAATATTCGTTCGTTCGACTATTGTAACATTCGTACATCCAGCTTCGGATAAATGAAAACCAATCGAAACGCCTATTATTCCACCACCGATAATACAAATTCGACTAGAATTTGACATATTTATTTTAAAAAAGATTATCTTGATAATTCGTAGATCGGATATGCAAAACAAAAAAGTTTCTAGCGTTCTTTTAACTCACACGTGTTGCAAACCAATCGAAATCAGATTTCGCAACATGGGGAGGTCGCAAGTAGTATGTATATCTTTAGTCTCTTATCGAGACTATATAAATGACTATATAGGTACGAATCAACAGTAAATAAATTGCGTCGCTCGAATCATGTCTGAAAAGCAAGTATTGGACAACATGGTCGCTCAAAACACAAGCGCTGGTCAGACCCCTCCGATTTTGATCAATGTTGAAGATTATCATCAAGCTGCGAAAGCCAAACTACCGAAAATGGCTTATGATTATTATCGAGCAGGTGCTGACGATGAATTAACTTTACAAGAAAACGTTAATGCTTTCCGACGAATCAAACTACGTCCACGAGTGTTCGTCGATGTTGCTCATCATGGCGTAGACGAAAATAGTTGCTCGGTGACGTTATTAAATGGTCAAACAAAATGTTCAATTCCCCTCTTGTTTGCACCGACAGCTATGCATCGTATGGCTGATAACAAAGGTGGTGAACGAAGTACAGCGCGTGCTGCAGTTCGTGCAAATACTGTGATGATTCTTTCAACACTTTCGACTACACGGATTGAAGATGTAGCTGATGAACATCAAAAAGCGTTGAAAGAATATCCACAATCAACATCACAATTATGGTTTCAATTATATATACTCAAAGATCGTGAATTTACCACACGCTTGGTTCAACGTGCTGAAAAAGCTGGCTTCCGTGCTCTCGTTGTTACCGTCGATGCTTCGCGATTCGGTAATCGAGAAGCTGATCGTCGAAATAGCTTTCGTCTACCAGCAGATATGCAGTTAGAAAATCTGTATGATGCTGGCTTAAAACAAGCAGACGGTAAACATGATTCAGCATTAAATGATTACATTGCCAAAAATCTGGATGCAACGTTAACGTGGAAGGATATTCAATGGTTACGTCAAATCAGTCGACTTCCGATTATTGTCAAAGGCATCATGACAGCTGAAGACGCTCAATTAGCCGTCCAAGCGGGCGTAGATGGAATTGTTGTGTCTAATCACGGGGCTCGCCAAATCGATACGACATTCAGTACAATTGAAGTTTTACCTGAAATCGTCTCCGCTGTTCGACGAATCGAAACAAAGAAAAAAGTTGATATTTATCTTGACGGAGGAGTTCGTCGTGGAACAGATATCCTCAAAGCAGTGGCACTCGGAGCTGATGCGGTACTCATCGGTCGACCTATCCTCTGGGGCTTAGCTGTCGGTGGATGTCAAGGTGTAGTTGACGTTATCGACATATTCAAACGGGAATTTAAACTTGCCGTGATGCTTTGTGGGTGTACTTCGTTACCCAATGGAAACAATATCTCGTTATCGCCATACTCACATCTAGTTGCCATGCCAAAATCAAGACTTTGAAAATGAAAAAAAGAAGGAAAGATGATCAGATCGAATGTTGTGATTAGCATTGTTTATTAGATGTAAACAGACGATCCAATGAAGCCATAGGAAAGGAAATTTGAATATATTATTACTACTAGTTTGTCGTGTTTTGTCGAGTTGGATGTCAAAAACGTCTTTTTTTCTTTGTCCGCTTGATTGAGCTAATATTTTCCTTTTGTTTTTAATTTATTCCTTTCGTGATTAATATATAAGATTTTTTCACAAACAACAAAATATTCTCGATTGGAAATCACAGACATAGCAAAACCTGAACAATGCAGTAAGCATCTTCATCACCAATGCTGAATTGACCCTTTAACTTCTCATTTAGTTGTCTTTCGTCCTGTATTTTCCTACTTTTCATTCTAACCGCAATTGTTGACGCTCGTGTTCCAATACCATCGAATTCTTTGTCCAAAGATCATGATTTACAACACCACAGCGCTGAACCGGCTTGGAAAGCTGAAGAAGATGATGTTTATGATGATGCTGATGATGATGACGACGATGTTACTGAGTCACGCGAGAATCTTTGTGAACAAGGAATGAATATGATTGTCCAGCATCATGATTTATCCAAATTAGATCCAACACTTTTTCTTGCATATTGTCCACAGTATGATCAACGATTGGCATCGGTGATGAAGAAGTACAATTCAAATAATATGGACAACAAACGGCAAATATTACGTCGACGAGAATTGAAAAAGCGATTAGCACTTCGATTTCTTCGTAAACGAATGTCTTAAGTTTAAAGGAAAATTTCTTTGATTTTCTATATAATAAAGCATTTTTCCCTATGCATTTTATTTTCCGTACGAAAAATACGAGAAAGAGAAACTATTCAATCAAATATAACGCTTTGCAAGATTCGAAGTCTTATCGTGATTTCAGCAAATTATACTTTTTCATATATTCCACAACAGTTTGCGCAAACAGTTGCGCATTTTCATACGCATCTGGTCCCATCCGTGTGCTATACGCTAATTCCGTTTGAATAGCGTTGATCTTGGATAAATAATGTCGAACGATATATCCACCGGCAAAATATGTTCGCCCTTCCGGTTTTGGATTGAGTAATGAGGGATAAGCGATACCTAAACCATTTCGTTCGAATATATTTCCAAAGGAATTTTCACCACGAATGCATTCATTACGGTTCGTTGAACATAACGATTCGATCGATGTTTGAAACGAAGAATCCGATAGATCATCTTGATTCAATTGATCACTCGATAACGTATATCCAATCATAGCATAACTAAAAGAATAAGTCTAGAATTTTGATAGAATATTGAAAACCTTTCCTTACTTTCCTTTGGAATGACCATGGATGTCGATGAGAAGCCCTTTTCCAAACAATTGATTAACTTGTTCAATTGCATTGTTCAAATACGAATGATAACTGTCGTAAGCAGATATCGCTTCTGAATGATTCAATGTTCCTTCATGTATATGACGATTGAAATCGACTTTTGCACGATGCCATTTACCAATAATAACAAATGGTTTGAAGTTCCACTTCGATTTCAATGCATTCGCAACATTTTCAGCAAATTCATCAGTTCGAGAATCTTTCACCACCGTCGTTCGATAACGTCGAACTTCTGTTTGATCTTTACATATACCTTCCGTTCGATCAGATACATCATCGGGCATTTGATTCCCTCCATGTGGTGCAGAAAGAATAATATTCACATTTCCTTGACAGTGATATTTGCACGACGATCGATAACCAGTCAGATATTCAAAGAATTCATCTGCCATCGACAAGAAACATAGAGAGAAAAAAAAAGAAATGAGATTAGAACTTTACTTATTAGTCGCTGGAATAAATCATTTGAAGTTAATTTATTATCAAAAGGAACAATGTTCAGACGGTAACAGAAAAACTGTGAGAGACTTATAAATTTGATTGATCATTGAATGTCATAGACTAGAAAATGGTGTTCTGTCATCTCAGTTACATCTCTCTTCATATGTCAATGTACGCGTATCGATATGTTTTATTCTTCGCGCATTCTTCGCTAAATCTGTTGTCGCTTCAACCATATCTTTCAACGCATAGGATAACGTATGAAAAGCGAGAATATCTCCAATAGATTGTGTAGACACTAGTTCAGTTCGAATGAAGTGATTGTTCGCATAAAGAAATTGGATTAATGCTGCAAGCATCAGGTCAACTGCTTGGCGAAGGGATGGCAAAGGTTGATTGTCTTGCTGTTGACTTGAATGGCAAAATGGAAAGAATTTATAATGATTAGTTGAAATTGGAATTGCTTGAAATTGTCGAATAGGTTTAAATGATGAACGGCGGTGATTATTGTTGTTCTCATTCGGTTTTTTCGTACGTTCATCGAATGAATCTTCGCGACAAAGTTGCTGCAAATCAAATGCACCAACATCAACAGTCGCTTGTTCTTCGAGTAATTGTCTTGTGTATGTTAGAACTTGCTGGATGTGTTTTTCCAGTGCAGAGATATTCTGAAGAACAGGTTGATAAGATGCGGTGTTCGTCATTCGAAGTGACGTCAGTGAATTGTTCGATATAATAGAGCTTCTTTCGAATCGGGCTGACGATCGGGGAGTATATGTCATAAAAATTGTCAATGGAATATCAAGGTCATCTTGTAATTGCTTTTGTTTACGCAACTCTGTCATTGTCCATGCATGAGATGCTCGCATGTCGGTATTTGAATTGTTACTATTCATAGGTACGAGATTTGGCTGACGAACTTGCCATCTACGACGAAAAAGTGTTTAATCAAGGAGGTGAAATTGACAAATAAGGTTTGAAGTGATTAATTAGAGTATGTATGTGAAAGGAAATCATTGTTGATAGATAGAATGAACTTACTTTGCTTCTTGTGCGAGATGTAATTTGGTTTCTGCTTTGAGAATTGTTGTGCATCGATGAACAAATCGAATGTTGAGGATAATTCGACGTAATGTTTTCGATATGTCATCGTATCGGTCTTTGACTTCGGCGAATGGACGCTTCCAGAGATTTGGCTCACTAAGCGCTTCCTCGAGTAAATCGGGAAAATCGTCAGTGATTAATTCAATTTCAGACAATGTGTCGGTTAAATACAAAGGCTTTTTCTTTGATGATGATGATGCTGATTGATCTGCTATATTTGAATTCACCGTGGTTGGTTCGATAAACGAACAAAAATCATCAGTAGCGATCTTCAATGCCGAAGAAACATGATTGATCATCATTAGAACCTGAAAAATGTCCATCATAGATGTGAGAAATTAACAGGGGATGTTTCTTACTTTCTTTTTTATCAATCCTCGTGCAGATACAGGTAAGAACAGATTGGAAATTATCACATGAATGAATATACCTAAAAACGTCAGACTTGTTCGCGCAAGTACTGCCTTGTTTGATTCTTTGATTCCTTCTTGATTGGAAATAAATGTGATAATCGATGCTGATTGAGCGCAGACATTTGCAAAATATTCTTTTTGTGGATCTGTTTTAATGTAACCCATAAATGCAACGAATATCGATATAAATATACCAACTGCCAACTCCTCTTGAGCGACAAGAACGATAACGTACGCATAGGTTGATCCAAGTAGAACAGCCATGAGACGCTGAACTGATAAACGAATCGTTCCACCTTCAGAAGAATCAGAGACTAATGCTGTGGTCATCGGAGCCCAATAAACCCAACCATATGCTTGTAAACGCTCGCGATATTTCAAAACAACGACTGCTGACACGAGAACACTTAAACTTGTTTTGAAAGCACGTATAAATTTGCCAAATGATGGTTTTAAACCGATATAATCGATCAGATCACGAAAGTAAATCTTCCAATGAGATTCTTTGTTCAACAATGGAGAATCCGCTGTTGGCTGTTCCATGTCGCTGTCAAGACGTACACCGGGTGTCTCACTTGCCTCAGCTGCCGTTATAACAACGTGAACAAGACGTAAGACGAGCAAGAGAAAAGTGTTTAAAAGTATCGAATCAGTATTGGACATATTTGAATGAAAACGATTTTCTCGTACTTGAGCGTAGGTCTCAAAGAAATGCTCTAGTGCTTCTTCAACTTTCGCACGACACGTAACCATATTCGAGATGTTTATACGACGTTCTGATGAGATTGTATATGGAAGTACAGACTCCAGAAAATGAAATGTTGAGTCAAGTAGAAGGCAAATCGCCTAAGCAACAAAGCTCACAAATTGATCGACAAGAAAATGATTTTTTCTTACATTAATCAGCTTTCGTTGGCCAACAAACGCATGATGATGGTGGTCTAAAGACAACATTCCAGTAATTGTTCGCTGTAACGAAGCAAAGCAAACAGCCCAGACTTCTAATCGTTTTTCCAACGTTGATGGTTTGTCAATAAACTTCTTTAAACATGGAATCAAACGCAAAAGGCGTCGCATGAGATTACTTGCTCTTAAATAGATGAAATACGGTTCATATGAGATTTCTTCTAAAGCGCGTTGCATATGTTTAATTTCACCATTGACTAATAAATGCAAATCTTGAATATCACTTTTTAAAAGATGATCATCCTTGAGATTTTCAAATGACGTCGAATGATCATAAAGATCATCTTCGCGGAAGGAATTGGTTGGCAGAATAATCTCATCTTCACTACGGCCATCAGTTTGACTCTTATGACGATCCATTTCATGATTATAACTATTCTGTAGATGAATATTATGATATTCCGATATTAATAAAACAGTGGCGGCTATTTCACGGTGAATTTGTCCAGCAATAAATTTCATTCTCTTAGTCAGTTCACGATACGCAGTTGGAATCAACGGTAATGGAATACACGAGACAGCTACTGCCAAACTACAACCGATTGATAACGATGCCCAGGCGTGAAGAATGTAAACTGTGTTGATATGAGATTTTTTAAACCATTGTAAAAGTATAATACAAGTAGGTAAGATCGAAAATCGACGTACGGTTACTGGTAGATCGGTGTAAACGATAAGAAGAACAAAGATGTTTGTGGCACCAACAGCAATGTAGATATCTGCAGGAAATAATTGCACAATGAACAGGCAGTAGATAGCAGCGATACCACCAGCTAAATAGAGTCGACAAGCAGTTTGAATCGTTTCTCCGAGTGTAGTTTTAATAGCCACGATAAAACCAATACTTAACAACAGTTGTCCGCGAATTGCGTTGGACGTAACTGGAGAAAGAGTGAGCGTTGCACAACACTTCAAATGAGAACAATTACGAAAGAAATACGACAGTTTCTGTTCAATTCACTTACAGCAATTCCTATTAACGTTCGAAAAGCAAAAATAAGTCGAGCTGGAAACGTGGGTAACAATGGATGCCAACAAGTACAAGATGTTCTACATCGTTTCACAGATGTCATCGGAATCAGATCTTGGCAAATAAACTTCCAACTAAAATCTATAAACATATATATATGTAAGCAAATATTCCGAGGAAGAAAACTACAATATGATTTCCCGTTCATTTTTCTCTTTTCCTTCTGGTCTGTTAATCGATAATTATGAACAAAGCATCATGCTGATTCTGTTGTTCGTTGGTGCGTTTTCCTTTATGAAGGAATCGAAACAATCGGTTTCTGATTGAACGTTTGTTTATTAACATTAAGAAGTTAGTCTTCGGCAGATGATGCAGTTTTATGATACAACGCCTCCGCATGCCAAAACAAATTGTTCTTATCTTCATTTTTACCTTGACTTTTTCTCTTTGTTTCTTTCTTCTCTTAAATACCTCAGGTTAACTGTTTTCATTGTAAAGCAAAGCAACACACAACAAACTCATGGCGAATCGGACTGAAAAACATGGTTTTGCGAAGGAAGCGTACGACAAAGTATGTACAAAGAAAATATTTATATCGTGTATTCTTATCATTAGCATAACATCAGAAAATTCGTGAGAAGTCGTTTATTTACATAGTTTTCATAGCCATTCAATTTCGTTTAACTAACAAAGCAGACAAAAAACATTTCCTTTGTTTCCTATTATGTAAAGAATGTTTTGCGTCGCCTTTTTCTTCGAATTTTATCTTTTCTTTTGGTATACATACTAACACGATTCATCCGCCCACTCAACCGAGTGGTTTCATTCTCGTCATATATGACGAGGAACATCATTCACTTTCGAACAAGTTAACAGACATATCTGCCGAGTTCGATTTGATCTATCTTCGATTCTAAACATGAATAGTATAGTGCGTGCGCAAAAGTCTGGCTTAGCTCATGATGCTTGGGAAAAAGTGGGTGAAACGTGATCATTAATAGAGTAGACTAATATGACTATGATGTGCTTTTGATCTACAGATTCAATCGAAATATGACGTTGGACAGGCTCATGAAGCGTTAGAGTGGATTAGTGAAATGATCGGCGAACAATTCGATACGAATGGCGATGCAGATAATGTTCATGAACAACTGAAAGATGGTCGCAAACTTTGCCAGTACGAAGTGTTTGTTTGTTCGATGAAGTTTTGTGAAGTGTGTCGAATTTGTTTAGACTAATCAATGTCATTTCCCCGAACGCAGTAACAAAGATCAATGAAGGTAGGACAATGTCTTCGATCATCAATATTTTGATCGAATCTTTTAGGAGTAAATAGTTTTAAACTTATGGAAAACATTTCTCGTTTCGCCCAAGCAGCTAAAGCTTATGGATTATCTGACGCTGAAATCTTCCAGACAGTTGATCTCTACGAAAAAATGAATCTTCACCAAGTCGTCCTCTGTCTCTTCGCCCTCGGTCGAAAAGTAAACATTTCCACTGTCTACCTGAAAATGAAAACCTCACTCATTTCATTCTTTCCTACAGGCACAAAAACAAGGTCTACGTGGTTTAGGTCCTAAGGAAAGTGACAGAAACGAACGAACCTTCTCAACCGAAACTATCAACCAAGGCAACACCATCATCAGTACACAATACGGTTACAACAAAGGCGCAACACAATCCGGTATTATCTTTGGTAACACCCGTCATATGTGAACAAAAATCAACTATATACATACGGTTCTATTTTCTCTTTCTCTTTCCATACCATTTGATTACTTTCATACAGTTATTCATTACGAAGAGTGAATTTATTTTATACCGTCTTTCTCTCGCTCTCTCTCTCTTGTATTTTGTTCGAAAATAAAACTATTCCATGATTTAACACTGACTTGTTCGAGATAAATATCGACTCGTTCATTTTCTATCACATCAGACTGAAAATGATCGATAGAAAAATAAACATCGACGCAAAAATACCGACGAACACCCGTTTTTACATCGCGTGAGTCAACAATAAACTCGTCAAATTTAACGAGCAAAAAGTTCTCCTAAAAAACATACACGACTCTTAATATAAAAAAAACACGTACTAATCACTCTCAAAACCAGGACGTTGAAATGCACGATGTACCATCATGCATACGAACCGTGTGTTCTCTTCCTGATGAAAAGTACAATTATCATTAACTGTATTTTGCACACAACACATTTCTTGTTTATCAAACATACATCTAAGCACTAAACTTACATTGAGTTAATTAAGTGACGGACATCGAGTGCTTCAAACGTGCTTTTTCGCGGTGTGTACCAATATGGAGGGATGAAATCATTCTATTTGTCTAATTCATGGCGTTTTTCTCATTGAAAAGCGTAAAAATCTTTGATGGTGGTGAAAAGCGTGAAAATGCGGCAATTAACGAGAAAATTAATGACAGTGCACGTTTACCTGAATGCATAAATAACATATGACACCATATGATTGGTTTTGATCACAAAAGACTTTTATTCACTGGACCATTGAGTTGATTTTCAATGAAATCCCCAATATTTTCATTCTAAAATAACAAGACGTTTTCTCTTTCAACATCGAGGAAAAGAAAAATGAACATAATACGTATTAAGAGATCCCATTTTTTCACATTAAAATACTCCTGTCATCGATCTGTTAACTTTTTTCCTCTTATACCAGATGGTTTCAAAATTATTTTGATTATTTCCGTTTCAGCTGGAGGAAGTAGATCGTACTTGTTCATTGACAGTGCATAGATATCCGAGCTTTATCCTCAGAAGGATATGTTTTTCTCTCCTATAGAAAAATAAGTAAAATATTTCTTTTTACGTAGATCACTTGTACTTAACGGAAAGTCTCGATAACTTTACCCTTGTGAATCTAAAGAACTATTAGAATAATTCTATAATTGATAAATAAATTCGTCTATTTCCACGATCATTTATGGGAATAATGAGGTTTTTTCCTTCGGTAAATCGAATCTTCAAATACTCTGTAAACATCGTAGTGAACTTGATATTTTTGTAAAAGTACATAGAACTAAAAGAAAGATTCGTATGACAAATCACATAAGAAGACAAATGACGGAAGAAATATCAAAATAAAAGATGTCAAGTCGAGTTTATTGCATGCGATTGATAAAGTCATTTGTCTAAAGTAAATTGCTCATGAAACGACTCATTTTCAGTATACAAATGATGTCACAGAAGAGTCTGATCAAAATTCAAGACTTCTAGGTTGCAGACGAGAGAAGTTAGACGGTTTAAGAAGCTCATCGCTTCAGCTTGTTCTTATTCGAGATTTTAATCAAAATGAAAATACTTTTCGAATGTTCTTGAACATATGTCAGTGGAATTTTCTTGGTTAATAGAAAATAATTTTCAAGAAAAAAACAAAAACTTAAAGATGTAATCAGGTGTCTCGATAAAAAAAGAGAAAAAAGTTATATTTGAAGAGTTCATCTGACAAAGTAGGATAGTAAGTATTTTCTTGTTGAAAGACGTTTCTATTTTATGTGTGTCAGGGCAACAAAGACCAGAACTTATCTGAAGAAATAGATATGACATTTGATTATTTGTTGTTCATTATGTTTAGCATTTATTCGTGTTTATTCTCTATTAAGTTGGTTTGAAAGGATGTAATACTCCAGATGAACTTCATCTGCACTTTGTCGAAACGAGATATTCGAACAAAAAAATAGAGAATGGATGAAGAACGTGAATATAACAAGAAAAAGAGAGACATTTTTCCTAAAGTAAAGAGTATTATTTCTTTGCTGGAGCAAAGTCTGCTTGCATTTTCTGTCGTAAATGTTCTTTGTAACTGAGAATATCACCGGGCCATTCCTTAACTTCTTGATTTTCGCAAACCCAAATTTTATCGGCAACCTGAACAAAACCAAAGTCAAATTCTCAGAAACATCTCTTCAAATATTTACTTGTCGAATCAAACGAAAGTCGTGACTAACAAGAACCATTCCACCAGCAAAGTTCCGTATGGCGTCAGCTAATGCATCGATTGTTTCGATGTCTATGAAGAGAAAGTTTGAAAATTAATAACTGAAAGTTAGTCGTTTCTTACCAAGATGATTTGTCGGTTCGTCCAGTAACAATAAGTGTGGACATTGCCAAGCTAACCAAGCAAAACTCACTCGACATCGTTGTCCATCCGATAGATTTCTCATAGGGCATATCTGCTGTCGACCGGTTAGACCAAATCGACCGATAATTCTTCTCATTTCTTCTTTTTCTGTCACATCAGGAAAACATTTCATCATATAATCCAATGCTGATAAATTAAGATCTAATTGTTCAGCTAAATGTTGATGATAACGACCCATACGTAAATGAGCATTACGACGGATTTGTCCCTTTGTTGGCAATAATTGATTGTCAATTAATTTTAATAAAGTGGATTTTCCAGCACCATTTGGACCGACTAATGCAACACGTGTGTCAAGATCAATACCGAAATCAAGATTTGTATAAATCCAATCCTGAAATAGATTATTTAACTTTATCCAGCGATGAAGAAAAGCAATATTAAATTTACAGTATTATCCGAATAGCGAAACGCAACACCTTGCACCATTAGACATGGTGGCGGAATCTTTCCAGGATCAGGAAATGCCAATGAGAGAGTCTAAGAGAAAATCGAGAACTTCGAAAAAAGAAGAAACCGAATGATTCTATTTACTTTTTCTTGAACGACTTTTTCCGTTAAACCACTTTCCATCATTTTAGCTAATGTTTTCTCACGACTTTGGGCTTGAGAAGCTCGACTACCACTACCGAACCGGGCAATAAAACCTTTTGTCTTCGCTACTTGTTCTTGTTCCCATTGATATCTTTTCATTTGATTTGTTTCTAATTCCATCCGTGTTTGAACATACGCATCATAGTTACCCTAAGAAAACCAATCACTTCGCCTTGTTCAATCCCTTCTATTCCAATTTCTACTTACACCGTAAATGAAAAGTTTCTTTTTAGTTAAATGCACGATATTTGTGCAAACACCGTTAAGAAAATCTTGTGAATGCGACACCATGATTAATATGCGTTTATAATTTCGAAGTTCTTCCTCGAGCCAGACACAAGCATCGAGGTCGAGATGATTTGTCGGTTCGTCTAGATAGATTAAGAGAGGAAAACGCTTGAGAGTACACTTCATGCCATTTTCATACCGAGTAGTAATAGATGTGGACTAACGAAAAGGGCTCGGGCAAGAGCAATGCGCATCCTCCAACCACCGGAAAAATCTTTGCATTTTTTTTGTTGCATTTTCTTTGTAAATCCTAAACCATGCAGAATTCTTCCAGCTCGAGCCTCGGCCTACAAAGAAAAGAAAGTCGAATCACAAAAAAGAATCATTTGTTTTTATATTTACCTTATCAGCACCAAGATCATCGAGTCGTTCATAAATATCGATTAACAATTCTTGAGCTTCTAAAAGAACACAACGGATAGGAAAAGATTAACTATTATTCTTCATTTCCGGCTTTTAACAATATTATTCATGCTAGGCGTCGTCTCATCTAGACATAATTACAAATATATATATATATATACATATCAAAAGTCAATGTTTTCGAATTTTCTTCGTCTTTCATTCATTATTGAAGACTATTCGCCATTATCCAACTTGATAATTACATATTCTCATAGCTTGTCAACTGCTACTTAGCATAATCAACGATGTATCTAATGAATTGAATCCAATTGAGATGAATAATGAAACCAATTCATTTCCATATTTCTTTTCGGTTCAATAGAAAAGAAAGTCAAGGTTATTACGATTAAGATATTTATTTCATCTGTCGCATACTGATAAATATGAGTGAAGACATGCTGTGAATCTCGATTTACCATTCACTATTCAGACAGTCTTTCCTCCTCTCTCTCTCTCTCTATTTTTAGATTCATTCGAGTTTCGTAGAGACAAGTCGCGTCTTTCATTTTCTTATAGATTTACTCTTCCAATTGTTTAATCAATCCAACCGATGAACAGCTCTGCTCTGCCGAATCTTGATATAACAACAATCAAAGAAATGGTATGTCACTTGTCACTCCACTCGATCACAGACTATTACCAGTTGTCTATACGATGATAAGAACAGAAAAATGATTCATTTGAAAATCTATCTCTCAGCAGTATCACGAAATAAACAAATTCTTCGCTAGTTGCCTCATTCGACATCGCTCCGGAGAATAAATGATCGATTGCATTTTTTCTGTACAAGCACTTCTTTTTTTGCCAATCAGATTAACTAAGGCCGAACGACTTATCTTTGTAATAAACACTTTCTAGTTCACTGAATAGTTCGTATTTTTCCATCAAAACAACAACAACAGATATCATGTTCAGTGGTAATTCCATTTCATCAACAGATTATGCTTAGAGCAATAAATGAAATCCAAGAAGAAAGAAAAGAAAATCTCTTCAGTTTTGTGTCTAATTGACGAAAAAGAAGCGCATAAAAAGAACTGACAAAGGAGAAAAAAGAGCTTATTATATGTAACACACATACACAGTCAGTTATTGTCAACAAGGGCTCATCGTGCTCTTCTTTTCTTCGTCTTCTTTTTTTATTATTTCTTCGCCTTTCTTAGTTTTCAAAGAGATGGAAAATACGAGACATATATATGCTTTCTGCGACATGCATTTCTCGTCAATTAAAACAACAAGTCACAAATAGTCTTATCTCAATTCTCTCGTTATAAATTAGAAGTAATAATATCGTCCTTATTCTTATTACAGACATAAATATTGTATTTTTCTTGACGCATTCCTTTCTCTTTCTAATCTCTCGAACTCATCAAAAGACATGCGTGTTTCACTGTGCAAGGTTTCCTTTCAATTATCAGATCTTCAACTTAGCCTTAATGATCATTTTTGCATGTTTTTTTTTCTTTGATGAGCAAATCGTCTATGTGTACGATGAAATACCAGCTTGCGAAGAACATTTGCTCATGTATAGAGAACGAGAGACAGAGAGATGTATATACACACATACCAAACGGAGAAGGACATTAGAGAGAAGTGATGGTGATGCTGAGAGAGAACATCGGTAATCTTCTTTTTCTGTCTTGTTGAGAAAGCCAAACCTCGACAAACAAACATTATCATTAGACTACGGTATAAATTGATAGACATATATCTCGAGAAAGTCAGTTCAATGAAAGCATCAGGAAAATGTCAACAATGATCGCTGTGTGTATAAGATAATTGGCACACTTGACAATGTGTGTTGTATCAATACAAAAAAAAACGACTTTCGGCGTCGCTCGTTTTTTTCTCTTCTCCCTCTCTTCTCATTTGCAAAACTGATGTATTCTTCATTTTCTTTTTCTTCTGTCTATGTCATTTGTCGTTCAATGCTATTTTGCCTTTTTTTTTTATTTATTTTCCGATCAAAATTGCAATCCTGTTTATGACTACGACTCCTGGTACTACTGTTCCTAGTTTTTCTTTCTTCCTTATCTTATTCCTACTGCATGTAACAAGCAGAACGGAATCGACGCACATCTTTTTATGCCAACAAAATCGAATTATTATCTTTTCTCTCGTAACGAAGTCACTCAATACCTCCTACGGATCTTTTTTCTTTTATACTCGATCAATTGTGTGAAACTAACTATTTCCTCATAGTCCTAATCTAGTTATTTGAGGTAAATAATACTAGTGAATACAACCATTAACTGCTTATCATTTTCTGCCTGAACAATTCATTCGTTTTTTCTTTATACATGATTGAATAGAAATGTCTTAGTTTTTTCTTACACATCCATTTCCTCTTCATCTTTTTTCCTTTTTCTCTTCTAGACTAGATTCACTTCTAGAAAAAGAAAAAAAAAATAAGAGAAAAAAGCAACTATTATTTCATAACATAACGCTCATACTAAATGGCTACTACATCACAAAATCGCGCGTTCCAAGCTTACAATAGCCGATACTTCCCAAACCGTCCAGCACCAAAAGAATCTGCCAACTCGTCATCACCAAAAACAACAACAACGCCAGCAACACCATCAACGGCAGAACCGTTGGTCTTCGGTCGTATACCGTACTCTTCTATTAAATCAACGACAGACAAATGTTCATCAATACCTTCATCTCCAGTGCCGCATGCCGCAATGAAAACGACTCCGATGACAGAGAAACGTTGCTCATCGATAACTAGTCTGAGTCATTTATTACCGCGTCAGAAAACTTCACAAATGACGACATTAGCTTCACAAAGGCAAAGTCTTTGGATAAGTATAGCTAAGAATGCTCAGCTAAATGCTAATCAACAATCTTCACTTCCACTTCTTCAACAACAACAACAACAGACAAGTTTGACAAGAAAAAAGTTTCTGCGCCTACTACTGGTTTTTAGTTATTTATTATCCATTTCATTATTTGCCATTGCATTAGCCACATTTTATGGCTTCTTCTGGACCGATTATAGTACTACGCAAATTTCCAATGTCGACGCACCTGTCTCGGCATTTCTTTCACCTCCAAATTCGACAATTATCAATAGGAAATTACCAGCTGATCATGTAAATAGTAATCATCAGGCATTCATGTTCACTTCTAATTCGTTTCATTTCTCTATGTCTCATAGGATTCAATAATAGAAACATGATGTGATAGGAATCTTCTGCATCATTTGATGTATTGATAAAAACTGATTGCATTGTTCGGACGACGAACAAGTTTAGACAGTACAGCTGTGTACCGGTCGACACTCGCTTCTCGGTGAAAAAAGTAAGATTAGTTAAATATAGAGCAAAGATAACTATTGAACAAGTGCCTACTGTTCCTTTAGATCATTTTGACAAGAATCTGATTAACAAGTAATGCTAATCAAATCATCTAATCCGGTAATGACTCGTAGGTTTATTTCTACTTGATGTTTTGCTTTTTTTCTGTTAAACGATCATAATTTACTTTTCTTACTTAACAGTTTTTTTATGCACTTAGTAAAAAACTTAACAAACTCTCTTTCTTTTTTCACTTACCATCGTCGTTACTCGTTGCTAATCGTTCAGCTTCAGCTTCGAGCTTAATTCGTTCATGATCAACTTCCATGACGCATTCCAAAGCAGTTTTATCGACAGGTGCCATTTCACGAGACAGATAAAATATATCGATGTGTTCGGGAATTGGTACCTAGGGAAAAGAACGTTTCAAATTAATTAAAACACCATGTTTCTCGTCGAGGGCATTGTTTTGTGATAATTTATGCATATTTCTTCTAAGAAATTATTCTATTCTGTCAGCAAAATGGTTTCATTACCTCTCGATTTCCAATACACGCAAGAATTGTTGATTTTCCTGATCCATTCAAACCAACGAGACCATATCGTCGACCACAGTTCATTTCGAAATCTGTATCGACTAGAATTTCTTGTCCATAAAAATTGACTGAAAATTGATGAATATGAACATCACGACCACGAGGGTGACTTCCCAATACACCTTTGCAAACAAACACATTTCAAACAGAGAAACAAGGAGAAGCTAAAAGGTTTTACCAGTGCAAGATCTTGCTTCAGCATTGGCTTTTTCTACCATAGTTAACAAATCAAGATTTTGTATCAAAGATTTGACATTGGGGTCCACCCCATTTGTGGCGCCATTTGTTGGATTTTCAGGTTCATTTTCATTTTGAGTTTCAACATCATCGATATCGTCATTGATGTCATCGTCATTGCCATTAGCTGCTTCATTGTTGTTCGTTGTTGATTTCTTTGTTGGAGCTTGTCGTTGCTTGGCTGCAGCTTTCTTTTGCAAATCACGTTTCTTTTTTGCATCGGATGGCATTTTGTTCTTTTATCGATGGTTATATAATCTAGAAAAGAAGAACAAGATAATGAAAATATTTATTATTATATCTGAGTTTTCGACTGATCTGACAAAGAAGAGAATTCTATCTGACAATTAGACAATATGTTCAGCTATTTTCCGTTGAATCAAATGTTCGGCATCTGATGTTAAAACATAATGTTCACTATTGAAGGTCAGTTGAATGATGGTGCCATCACTTGTTTCATACGGACCATAATCTTGAATGCATTTGATATGTGCGAATAATTTCTTCGGAGGAATCATAAATGATGTTAAGTCAAGTGAATGATTGTTACCGATAGAGCGCATGTAGGATGATAAAGTTTGATTATAATTCGAGAAAAATTCCAATTCATCAATAGACAGATTGTTTCTCATATGTTCAGGAAGAACAGGTCCGATGGACCAACGAAGTGATTTGATTTTATTCATTCGATGGTAAACATATGCAAGTAAACAACGTTTGATACGTTGAATAGCTGCATGACGAATACTAATCGTAGGCATTAATGTTGGAGCAGAAGTGGCGCTGCTGGTATCTGTATTGGTTTGGACAACTGTTTGGACATCTTCGTAATTCTGACGAAATAGTTCGTTGGCTTCGAGTTGACACAGACGAATGGTCTCAATATTGTATGGAGGTAGGACAGTATCACGCGAACGATCAAGTTCTTTGATTAATTCGTGAGCTTTTGATGCAAGCATCTTAAAAGAATCAAGGTTTATGAACGAAAAAGACGAAAGGAAAAGTCCGGACTCGAGTTTCAAATCAACGAAATAATTTCAAATGAAAATGTGGACAACGTTGGAGATCACTTATATTTGTTTTGTTTTCTAATTCCTCACTCGAATCATACGTAAACTCAACAATAGATGTTAGCGTCAACAGATGACACTCTATGACGTTAACTTGGCATATCCTGTATTCTTTTACAAATCAATTTTCACATGTTGAATATATTCAAATATGTTAGTATCGAATTCAATTAGATTCTCAATTTATTTATTTGAATTTTCAGTACACAAAGATTTGTTCTCGATGGCCTGTCGGTTTTTAACTTTTGCCCAAACCTATTAGAAGCGATGCTAGCTGTTCATCGCCACTTGTTGAATTTCGTCAGTAGTAAACCATTGAATTTGGACAAACGCTACCACGAAGAACATGAAATTATCAGATGTCAGTTACAGCGAAACATGTCTTAACAATTCAATAGAGCACCCAGTTTTCCCTAGAATGTCCTCGTAGTGTTTCGCAATTATATTTCGATCTTGTGCTTCAAGATTGATGCTGTTGATATTGTATATTTACTAATTTCATTAAGAAAACATCAATTATTACCACCGACAATGTCATTTATATTATTCCAAGAGGTTTTCTTTTCATCAGAATAAATTCTGTTCCTGTCTCACAATACAGGAAAGGATAGACGATCTTGATGACAGCTCTTTTTCGAGCTGACTACTGTTTATTATCTCTCCGTAAATCAACGCACTGCACATACACACATACATATATATATGCACAAAAGAAGAGAGCGATCGAGCTACACAGAAAAGACGGATGTTGATGCATTAACAATAAAAGAATAAGATTAATAAATAAAAGAAGAAGAAGAAGAAGAAGTCCCTCTTTTGTTTTCTTTAGTTCCATAATAAATAAAATTTGGAGCAATAAAATAAAGATAAAGATCAATGGAAAACGAGAATGTATGCGTATACATGTCTAATTCAGAACAGCGGAAGGTAGAAAGCCTTTTGTATTCTGTATTTCACACCCATTGAACAGGACCTGTACATGTCGAACAAACATAAAGATTTTTGCCCATGAACGCCAATTTTGTTGTCGATAAACTATCAGTTGTCGGTGATGAATTATCACTTTGACCTAACTCTTTCAGTAAAACTAGAATACGCGCTTTAGTTTCGTCATCAAAATTCGATAATGATGGTAACGAAGAGGTGCTCATAACTGTTCGTGTTTCATCGGACGGTACGGAGGTTTGTTCACTTGTTGCTGTAGCTGCTACATTATCAATCATTTCTGGCCATTCTAAAAAAAACGAGTATCGTATAATAAATTTAATCAGTTAATGTTTTGAGAAAACGTCTTATTTGGCTCAGTATCAATGATAAAATGATATCTACAAAGAATTTCTTCTTTTCAGATTGAAGACTGAACTTGAAAACATCATTGCCAAATATGAGATTCGAACAAATTCATCTTATCTCTCTAACAAAGTCAACTAAAAATCATCTACCATTTTCATCGACAATTTGTTGTTGATCAGAAAATTTATTTTCATTCGAGATGGTTTGTGTTGGATTGTTCGCATCGAGTGAGGATTTACTCAATCCACGCATGAGTAATGTTTCCAATTCAGATAGTTTTCTCTACAATTAGCAAATGAAAAAGTTAATCAATACGAAGTCCTCTGTCGTATTCATACTTGTAAATTCAGTCGATCTTGACTTAATTGTTTAATATAATCATCTTTTTCTTGATAACGACGATGAAGTTGAAGACGTTGTTGTTGATATAACGATATATAATCACCTATTTTAATAAAGAATAGAGATTATATTCGTATGAACATCGTTCGCTTACCAATTGTGTCCGTTTCACTTTGTAATTGTAGAATAAGATGTTCGAGTTGCTGAGTTCGATCTTGTAGGTCAGCATTATCACGCATTGCACGATTAAAACGATCCTTTATACGATAAAAACATAAAATGGGATTACCATCAAAAAATGACTTCGCTTACAATAATTTTCTCCACAAAACCATTCTGTAGTTGTGGTGCTTCATCGACAGGTGCACTGAATGATGATAATGAACTCGAATCATTCAAATGTGCATCCGTGTTGCCTTGCGTTTGCTGCTGCTGCTGCTGTTCCAATTGTGAAAGACGTTCTCGTAATAATCTATTTTCCTCAGTTAACTCGTTTAAACGCTAAACAAACAATACAAACAAATTTCAACAATTGAAAAATCCAAGAAACTTAACCAACTTGTATGTTATCATCTTGTCCACTCTTGTCAATCGATTGTACTTGTTGTTCCTGCTTTTCTGTTTCAATAGTTGGAATTTGTTGCGTAACAAGCTCTTGCTGTGCGAGACGTTCATTCAGTTGTCTATTAAGATATTCTTGTGCCTGAATTTGATTCGTTAAATTCATATTATCATTGGACTAGATTAGAAAGCATATAAAATAGGTGTTGATTCGTTCGTTCAATTGTCCTACCATTTTGATGAAACCATCTTGAAGTTCGGTTAATTGATCTTTTAGTTGTTTATTTTGTGCCATGGCACGTGATAATGTCGTTTTATCTGTTTGAATTGTTTGCAATAACGTCTCGTGATCGATCGTATTATCTTCTGTCAAAAGAAATATACCATCAAAAGGAAAACATCAGATGAAAATTAATAACTTACGAACTGTTCCATGCCTGTTTTCTAATTCAGTAATATATGCATCTTTTTCACTTGAAAGTCTAAGAAAACAAAGCGATTTTTATCAATGAGATCTTTGAAAAGTTCGCACTTATTCATTTGTTCATTTTCCAAACGAATTTCTTCAAAACGTCTTGACCATTCATCAATGGCATTTTTAAACAACTGATTTTCCTGAAGAAGAGCATCACGTTCAAGTTCTAAATTACTATTGTTTGTATGATTATGCACTGTTTGAGTGTCTTGTATTTCAGTAAGTTTCATTTCTAAAAGAATTACCTTCGAATTATTTATATTTGAACAATTAATTTCTTTACCGTAAGATCTTTTCATTGCTTCTCGTTCATTTTCTAACAGATTATTGGTTTGTTTCAGCTGATTTATCTAATCAAGAAAATCAATTTCGAATGAATAAGAATTAAATAACTAAACTATACTTGTTCATTTAACTCTTGGACATGACGTTGCATATTTGCATTATATTGTTGATACTGTAATTGTGTTTGTTCATTGTCCAAGCGCATATGATTGACGGATGCAAGAAGCTATACAATAATAAATTATCTTGTGAATATGAACATGACAAGTACAACTGATTTCAGAAAAAGAATATTTTCTTCTTATAGATCAGTGTGAAGTTCTTGTTGACATGGCAACAGATAAAATAATATATTGAGAACATGTCTCCTGGATTATACTTCGCTTTTTTTTACATAGATTCCATCACGAAATGGTATGATGGATGTGAAATACAAGAAATCGTGACTTCTCGTTCTTTATCTGTGAAAATCTTTGGTTCGTTCATCAAAAACATGAAAACGGAGTCCAATGTGGGAGATGTGTTGTTTTGATAAGGATATTACCTTCATCCATGACATTATTCAAGGTCATTTCAAATATATTTCTCTCCTTCAGTATTCAATACGAACTCGTGATCATCGTTTCTGAACTAATTAAAAATCAAATTCATTGGACTTACTGCTTCTGTATCATTTGTTTTTAATGCAATCGCTTTTTGCAGTTCATCTATTTGTTGTTCATATCTGTTTACCACTGAAGTATCATTGATAGACTAATAAAATAAAAGAGAAGATAAACAAGTTTGAAAATAAATTTTTCAACAAACCTGATATTGTTGTACACGTATTTCTGATTGTTCTAATTTTTGTCTCAATCGTGTTATTTCACTATTTAATTGATCAACTGTACTCTGTTGTTGATTAAGTTTCTCGTTAGATTCGTTAAGATTCTGTTTTAAATCTTCAATTGTTCGACTAAAAATATAACAATTGTAATAAATTCAAGTTTTGTCTTTTCCTAATTTTACTTTTGATGGTAATTTTCTGTTCTCAACCGCTCGATTTCCTTGTCAGATTCTTTTGCTGCCTAAAAATCAGAAAAGGTATGAGGTCGACAACGGTGTTCGAGCATCATTATTAACCATTTCTCGTCTCTGCGCATTTGATGACGAATTTTGGGTATGTTTTTCTAGTTCTTCAATACGTTCACGCGATGCTTTCAATCGTCCTTGAATTTCATCAACTTCGCTCTGTTTCTTTTCAAATTGTTTAACTGATTGAGTTAATTTCGCGGACAGATCGGTTTTTTCTGCAACGAGAATGCCAATTGTTTGAACATGAATCTACTCATTAGAAAGAATGACAGCCGATAAGTTTTAGACATGAAAACAATTCCATCTTACTTCCAATTGCTCTTGTAAATGCTCTAAATCACGACGATATTTCTGTTCAACATGTCGCACTAGATCAACATCAGATTGAGCTCGACTCGAACGACCCGACTAGAAAAAAACCGTATATTTCATCATTGAAATTTTCTTCTCGGAAGATTACCATACTACTTCCAGCACCATACTGTCGTTGATCTTCGAGTCGAGCACGTTGTTGTTTTTGATTTTCAATCAATAGAGCATATTGACGGTTTTGTTCCTTAAATAAACATATTTGTCATCTCATGCGAATAAATCTGTAACATACCTCTAAGTCATTGACAGGTGATTTAGACAGATTTGCATGTATACCATTTAGGATTGCTTGTTGATCATTGACAAAAGCGGACACATCCTGTGAAATATTGTGAGACCTAGATAGATAAATGACATAAATAAAAGATGTCGAAAAGATAAAATAATCATACGCATTATTATTGTAAAGAACATTGGATTCATTTGGAATCTATGAAAGAAAAGATTCCAGTTAGAAAAGTAATAATACCTATAACAAAAATTCATACTCCATTCAAGGAATGAATATTATGACCATTAGTTTCTGAGATAAAGGTCAAATGATCATCACCATTCTGCTGTTGCTGTTGCTGTTGATCACGAAATTTTTTTAACTAAACATATTTCAATCATAAATAGTATAGAGAAGAATGAATGAACACACTTTTCGACGAGCATTTACTAAGTTATCCCGTTTTTCATTATCGACCATGATTGTTGTTATTCAGTTTAGATGAAAAAGTGATCATGCACTATAGTAATACGAAGGAATTCAAGGATGTTCTTGAGTAGATTACTCTTAGACTAAATTGCCAACTGACCGTCCTTATACACAACTAGGAGAACTGACGCGTGGAGAGAGTCTATCAATCGAATCAATTGATAATCTCGGTATTTGTTGGACTATAGCAAAATATATCTGAAAAAGTCGGCACCATAGTGACAATAGATGTCTCTGTCAATCATACAGATATTTTTTTCATCAAATTATTAGCTGAAAGACTATGAATCCGGAATTCACTGTTGTTTGTATCAATGAAAGATATCAAGATTAGAATTTGATTTGCAAAATGCATAAAACATTCCCATCGAATCTCTTTTTTATCGAACTGTATTATATGATTTACAAAAAAAGAAGAAAAAGTAACAGAGGGAATAAAAAGATAGAAATAAGTTAATACAAAATTGTGCAAATTAATTCGATGGTAATAAAAAGAACAGAAGTGCAGTGACAGATGAATACTATATATACTTTGGGATTGTTCCATAAGTGTAGACATTCCATGGGATGTTCCAGATTATATAGACCTTCGTAATGTTATTGTGATTGTGATTTCTAAATTAATACAATATTAACAGCTTTTGAACATATATAAAATATTGAAACAGCAGTGGATGCATGAGTTTATTTCCTAGCCAATAAATAACTGAGTCATGTGTAGTGTTCTTATGTCAATAAGCTCGCAGGACATACTTTCTTACAATAAAAGGCGTATTTCCGGCAGTTTCTACTGTAAAATAAAAAGAACAATGAACGACTTGCTCCTTATGACAAATATGACTTGAACATTATTGGTGCTACAACGGATATTTCATCAAATAAACGAAGATTTTTAGGAATTTATCATAACCCAAACGATTCAGTCCGTACACACAGACGTTAGAAGTGTCCAATTAATTGTGATCACTTTTAAGAAAACAAACATCAAACAGAATCATTTTGATAGAGATTATAGTTACGCTTTTCTGTTAATTCGTAGCTTGTTCAAGAAGTACATTTTTGGAACTGTTTCATCATTACGATAAATCATGAGATATCAGAATACTTTGTTTGACTTATCATTTTATGGTACATCATTGGGTCTAATACTCCAAAAAGGTATAATTTCTGTAAAAGTGAACGCTATAGCACACCACATCTGACAAATCAATATCTTAAAGAGTATATTTACTCGCTGGTATGTGATTATCCGTAGAGTATTACAAAAACAGGAGGCTATATATGCATATACAAGACTTTCTCGTGAGGTGGCGCCACTTTACGACAAACTTATTGGGCTATATATATTCTCGTATTCCAATATGTTTACTAATCGATGTTATCAATTTGTGATATTCGTTATTTAGAGAAAGAAAGTGGTATGAATATGTTACTTTCTAGAGACCAGAACATTTTTTCAATGTCTCTCACTTGTGCTATTTGAAGATTGATCGGCTATTCTTCTTCGTATACGATCTTCCTTTTTGTTTATTTTTTCGTTCTGTCAGCGGTCAGAACGTGCATATTCATTGATCATTACATTGCTATCTATCTTAGAAAGTTGTTTTTCTCTGAGAATATATTTCGAAAATGTCATTAAATAGTACATCTCCGGTCGCAACTGAATCCAATGGTTCATCATCAGGTGTTTCATCGATGACCACAACTCCATGTGATGAGCGAACGTGTTCAACAGCCAAGTGTGCATTGTGTCTTCATTGTTCTCAGGAGTATTGTTTTGTGCATTTTCTCAAACACAATGAACAACTAACACTTAACGCCTACAATTTTACAGTAGCTATCGATCAACTTGGTAAGATAGAATTTAAGTTCTTTGATGATTATCAATTACTTTGATTCTGTTTTGCATAGAAGATCAAATAAAAAATCTAAAATTAGACGAATCTCTCCGTCGAACAATTTATTCACTTGATCAATGGCGTAAAAATCTAGTCCGAACAATAGAATTTGTTTATCAAGAAAAGCTCTCGTCAATCAAGGCAAATTACATTCAACTAAGTCATTATCTACAACAATTCCAATTTGAACAATCATCACATATTCAAACATTAAGAGTCGATCTCGAACAAATGAAATTTATCCGTAGTACTTATGGTTAGTTCATATTACTTCATTGACAAATCAAAGCAATATGCTAATACAAAAAATTTGTCTTCTCTAGATCAAGAAATGGAAAAAATTCAAATGACAATAAAACAATTACAGAAAAACTTGTCCGATTTGCAATATGATTTACAATTGAAGGAAGGGCAACCACCAAATATATACAATTCTATCGATTGTGAAATCGTGTGGAAACGTAATCAAACAGAAGATTTACAACGTTCAACAAGTGAAGATGATGAAGAAATAAACACTGGCGTCAATCATGAAGGTGGCATCGGCGGTGATGATGACGACGTTCTTGATTATTCTACAACAGGTACATCAACACCAAGTCCAGCCACTTATGAACATTGCTTACTTTCATTTCTTGTTGGAAATGATTCATCATCATTAGTAACCAATAAAGATGAAAAAACAATGCCGTCGAATATTAAGAAAATTCTACCAATGAAAAGACAACTATTGAATGAGAAAAAACGAATCAATAATACGACAACATCAACAACAATATTGAATAGCAATAACAAAAAGAGAAGAGTCTGCGTGAGTTGTGGGAAATGCTAGTAAGTATATGTTGCTTTATAAGTAGTTCTTGTGAGATTTTCATTCCGTTTATTAAACTCATACTGTTTACTTATAAAATAAGTGCAAAATGATGGAAATCAGTAGTCGATCCGAAAATGCGGTTGTTAAGGATACATTATAAAATGCATCACTATTAATTCAGGAAAAGGCGTACATGAAAAATCCATCTCGCATATAGAATATTTCGAAAGCATAAACACATATTTAGTTTGTAACATATGGTGCACTGATAAGAAATCGGAAACGATAAAAACTATTTCATACTTATCAGAACAGAAATGATAGTTAAGACCTACGCTATAGAAAATATCCAGAGGGTATGTTTATTCTAATATTCATAGACAGTGTAATGCAAAATCGATGTATATACCTGCAAAACAGCGACGGTGAACCCGTAGGAGTAGTAGACCTTCTGTAAGCAGTATTGAGGGATTGTTTTGACTTAAGTATGTATTTATATAAGTGTCTGACATTCTTCTTTGATTTTTAGTCATCCAAGTAGTTTACAACGACACTACCGTCAATGCAATCGTCAATCAACTTTTCAACCAATGGATTCATCGAATTCAGATTCGAAATTACTCAGTGACACAACGTTAAAAATAGTAACGAATACAATCAATCAAGCAGACAATCTAGTCGATGCATAAACGTGAATCGATTACCCATCTCGAGAATCAATATTTGAATTTAGTAAAAACCGAAATCTTTCATTATTTTACGAGAATTTCTTCTTCGAAGTGATATTTCCATATATATAAACCAATGAAGAAAATCAAATTTTTCATTTTTATTTGCTGTTCTCGACAGGTTTATCTGTACATATCTTTCTCTTTTTTTTTCTGTTAACATACCATCGAACAAACCAAAAAAAAACGCCATGTTGCTATTATTTTCTTGTTATTTTTTCTCTTATCAAACTGTTGTACTGTGTGTTTTCTTTTAAAGTTCAGTTCAACTTGTTGATTTTCTTCCTTTCCAGAACAGAAAAATTGTATGTTGATGAACATTGAATCTTCATTTTTTTTTATTGTAGATCAAAAGTAATGCACGAATTATTTTAGTCAATTGAAAAATTGAAGTAATGGCCTCTTGTATGTATCGTGTTGGTGGTATGTATCAATTTCATCTCACATTTTCACCTTCGATTCCAATGTTTACTTTTTCTTAGATTATGTTTATTTTGAAGGCAATCCTACAGAACCTTATCTGATTCGACGAATTGAAGAATTAAATAAGGTTTGTGTCTATTTGTGAGAAGATTTTCTTCGTCTTGTATAAATGGATACGATCAATTGAGTAACTCAATTATCTTAACATATTTTATTGACGCATCGTGATATTCGTTTTGAATGCGACAGCACTAGTGCTTTAGAGAACAGAAAGAAAATGTCCCTTGTTGATTTTTCTCCGTCTTCACTCGTTTCCTAATATATTCATTGTCAATGTCAGTTTGATTAGAAGAAGCGAGTCAACAAATAGGAAACTCATCTCGATTTTTATACAAAATATTATGATCAGCAGCAAATAGTACGACGAATGTACGATAGAAAACCGTCAGCGATTACCAAATCGACATTAATCATGATTAGCAAAATGTTCGTGACGAAAGATTAATCATATTTAGTCATGAACTTCGTTTTTTATTTATGAATCGCGTTCTGTTTATTGTTACTATCCCCAAACTTCTTGTTTGTTCATCTGAACTAATCATTTACATTTCTTCCTCGGTGCTTTAGACACCTAATGGTAATGTTGAAGCTCGTGTTGCTTGTTTTTATCGTCGTCGTGATATATCATCCTATCTTGTCAATCAAGTCGATCGACTTAAACTCGACGGTGAGTTGACTTACGATGAATATCGTCGAATCGAATTTCCTATTTGCATAGCTCCTTGGGATGACGAAGATGAAATGTCAACAGATACAAATGGAAGTGTAAGTAATCCATCGACGAGTAACTCGTCACCTCAACCAACAGAACTTAACGAAGTCCAAAAACATCAATTACGTCATCGAGAAGTATTCTTAACGCGGCAAATTGAAACGTTGTTAGCGACAAATATACGTGGAAAATGTTTGGTTGCACTTCATAATGAAACGGAATCATTTTTATCTTATCTTAATGCTGAGGTTCGAAAAGAAATACTCAATGACAATATGAAAAATCTTTTCTTTTGAAGGATCTCTACTTTTATCAACTTGTATACGATCCAAATCAGAAGACATTAAATGCTGATCGTGGTGAGATTCGCGTTGGAGGAAAATATCAAGCAGATGTGCCAACACAAGTTCTGTACACCGATGGAATGGTCGAAGGTATGTGAAAACACTCTTTATCTTTAATTAAATTCATTTCTTTTCCTTTCGGTATACATAGAAAATCCTGAAGTACGAGAAGAATTGACTTGGGACTGTAATGGCGGTCTGACAGAGAAACAAATCGATCAATTTTTAATTGTTGCTCGGTATTTATTTCATTCTTCACGAATATACTGAACAATTTCACTATTGAATTAGATCGATTGGAACGTTTGCACGTGCTTTGGACTGTCCAACAGCGTTGAAACATCCGAGTCTTCATATGAGTGCAGCATCTGCTTCACGTGATGCTACTTTAGTATGATTGTTTTTTGTCTTCGAATTCCACCCTGTTGACATAACTTGATATTTTGTAGTTTTTCGCCATGGATATCTTACATAAACATCATTATGACTTAGCATTAGCTACATGTAGTTTAGTACCGACTACGGGTCCGATTCTTGTCAAAGATCAAATGGAAGATTGGTCAGCAGCTGAAGCGAATTCATTTGAAGACGCGATTGAAAAATGCGGCAAGGATTTCGGAGAAATACAAAAAGAATATGTAAACAGAAGACTGTTGATTGTTTTGTATTGATTTCATTTTGTTCTAGTTACCATGGAAAAGTTTGAAAGGCATCATTGAATATTATTATATGTGGAAAACAACAGATCGTTACGTTGCTCAACGGCGTTTGAAAGCAGCCGAACAAGAAAATAAACTCAAACAAGTTTTCATACCAAATTAGTTCGTATTTTTTCTTGTTTTTCTTTTATGCATGATCGACATTTGGTTTTAGTAACAAAGCTCATCAATGTTTACTTTCACAACGACCACAAAATGAAAACAAACCATGCGAATCATGTGGAAGTATGTTCAATGAAATAAATGAATTCCACCGGAAAAAAACCCACATTCTCATCGATTTCAGATACATCATCAACTCAATGGTATCAATATAATACTGCACAACCGCATACACGATTATGCTCAGAATGCTGGACTTATTACAAAAAAGCCGGCGGTTTGAAATTTCCGAAGAAGAGCGGTAAGTTTTGATTGAATTGAATTAAATTACTAAATTAATTCTGCTTTTTTTGTTCTCCTTAGGTGCCGATCGACGACAAGGTTCGTGATGAATAAACATCTCACATTCACATTTTGACCTTATATTGTTCTAGAACGCGTTTCCAATATCAGTAAATTAATCAGTTACAACTGTACGGTTACCGGTTGTGAAAAAGTACAAATGAAAAATATTTTCCTATTTACAAACCAACATTTTCATTCTGTTTCGTTCAGGATTGCAAAAATAAAGCTGCTCTTCAACGTCATTACGCTCTTACCCATGGTATCATGTATCGATCGGGCAGTCCACGTCCGTTAGCCAAACCTCGCAATACATTTGCAATCTACACTACACCATTAACACGAGCTGTTCGTCCATTGTGTCCAATACGACGTCTGGCTTGTCATCCGACTGAGAGTATCAACATCAGTGACATACGTAATCAATGGGAAAAACATATTCATGAGAAATCTGCTGATGAAATTCGATCGACATGCACTAAACTTCGTCAATTATACGAAAAAGGAGCTGCGCGTCGTAAGACTTTGCGTATCGATACTTTATTTCCATCTGAAATTCAGAACAACGAAAATCAAAAGCTTGAAGATTATTTACCAGACTGTGAAAAGAGAGAAATCAAGGAAAATGAAAGTAATTTACCAGTACGATATCCAAAATTGCACGATGATTCAAGTGAATTTTACGCCCAATTTACTCATAATAGTATGAGTATTATGAAAAAACGACCTTATGAATCTAATGAGAATTCTAATGAAGGTAACTGAATTTCGAAAAGAATGCCTTTCGCTATTTCTTTCTTTGTAGGTCCATCGCCAAAACGAACATTAATTAGTCGACAAAATCTAATCAAAACAAAATCTCCGGTAAGATCGAGTTCATTCTGATGAAATTACCGATAAAATAGAAAGGATTTCCTGACATATTCATTTAACCTTGAAAAGATAAAAATCTAATCGTAAGAAATAAAAAAACGAAGAAGAACAAGAAGGAAATATAAACAAAAAACGCGAACAATTAGGCGATTAACGTTTCTGTTCTTTCTTGCACGACAACCGATTGGATAATGAGACAAAACAAACATTATCAAGGACAAATTAGACTCCTTTCTTCTGGAAAAAAGAATCTCAGCCACTACTGATTAGACTTATCATCGATAAGAGCACTTATATCGAAAGGTGAATGAAAACAAATCTAATCGACGACACGCGTTCTCATTAAAACCATGATGCTTATCTTAACTATCCCATTTAGGGTGCAGCCAAGTTAACTCGATCACGTGCTTACACGGTACCATTCGTTGATCGTAAGTGAACAGAATTTTTCTTTGGTTAACACTAAAATCCCTTGCGTGTTTTTGCTTTTTGTTCTCCTTCATTCAGCTCCTGATGGCATTTACCTTCGTGTTACAAAACAAATCAAGTAAGATTGGACTTTTCTTGCTTGAGAAACCACATTCTATTCTTGTTCTTCTCATAGACGATTGAGAAAGGAAATACCTTCGAAAGATATTCGCCGTATTGCACGTGCGCCCTGGAAAAAGCTGAATACAAGTTTTGTTTCGTATGTCGATGATGAAATTGTTGTGCTTGATTAAGTCTAATTCAATAGTTTCTTCTTTCTTTGCTGTATATAAGATGACATATGAAGTTTTTCACTTTTTTCTCAAACCGATCGGTTCTATAGACCTGAACATCAAACTTTACGAGAACTTAGACAAGAAATTTTCCTGTTACTGTCATGATTGACCACTGTGTATGTTCTTTTTCTCTTTTGTTATCAACTCTACAAAATATTTGTGTGTATGTGAAGATAAACTCAAAGTTCGTTCATTTCTTTACTTGCCTGTTGCTCTAAATCTGTGTATCATCTGTTCGTCTAAAAGATCTTTTGGAAATAAAACCAATCTAATCTGTTTCTTTATTTGACTTGTGTGAATAGTTTTCATTGCGAATTAATGAGTTAGAAAATTCTTTTTTTTTCTCTGATTATTGCTTACTTGTAACATTCATTAACCTTTCAATTGAAAGTTATTGTACTCGAAGGAACAAAGCGAGTGAGAAGGAGAGAAATGACCGATTTATGACTTTATCGAGATCAATATTATACTGTATACAGGTTATATACTTCTGCTTACTCATGTACGCAGTGTAATGATGTCGGACACAAGTACTAATATAGACACGAATCTATTAGACGCGATCGTGTCTTGACGAGAGAAACGATAGTAATCGCTGTCGATCTAAATATAGATCTTTTTCCTTCTTCTTCTTCTTCTAGATGAATATACAACATTGATTGTCTTCAATGTCTCAGAACACTGATCACTATCACATGAATACACCGACTTCAGTCTCTCCGAGTAATAACAATATCAAACGACTTCCAACAAATCAACATTTTCTCGCAACAACTTCAGCCGATTTGAATGTTGTGAGTAGTACTACTCGGAATGATTGTTCCTCGCCACAATCTCACACGGTAAGACATCCGATCGATGAAATGAACGAAACCAAGAAGAGAAAAGAAATGATTTTTATACACAACTTAACTGTTCTCTCTCTTTTTTTTTTCGTTCGCAAAACGAGAGAACGAACGAACAGTATAAGGTTCAATGTATACATTCATATTCAACGTTGTTTTCTTTAGTCGCCCATTATCAGTGATGTTTGTATGAGCAGTCAAAATAGTGTTCGAAATCCATCGACCATGATGAAATTCAAAGATGTTGATTCGTCTAATGGTGTATGTAAACATTTCATTTTAGGAAGAAAAGAAATCGATTGAATCATTTGCATTTAGAACCATTTCAATGAAAAATACGCGTTCGCTCTAGGTAAGAAGATTGAATTAGTTGAAAAGAAGCATGAGTGAATCGTTCTTTTCTATTAGACTTTTCATCACCGGTGTCTAAAACAAAATCCGAACATAATCGAACTTCGGTAAGATCAATGTGAAAACTCCTCCTGAATCAATCTTATTCTAATCATTTCTTTAGCAAAATTACACATTCGAAATGTCAACTAACGACGAGCAAGATCTTCACTCTCCTTTTGAATTAGGTACGGGAAAATGACTGAAGCAACACTCGTCACTCTTGATACTTTTGTTCATAGATGTTCCAATTTGTGAAAATCAGCCGATGAAGAAAATTCAGAATGATTTTCTTATCGATCGAATGTTAAAAGATGAAACAAACTCGAATTATTCATCTCAACATCGATCGATCAATCAATCATCGTACACAAATGTTCTCAATCATTCATCTCCACTTGTGACACCTTCCTCTGATCATCACGATATTGATGCATTAAGTGATGCAGGTACTTACATTATTGAAGATGATCTAGATATTGCACATGATGACGAACCTGAGCAAGATGTTGAAGAAGAAGAAGAACGACAACAACAACAACACAATGACACTCAAGAATCGATTTCTTCACCATTGTCGACTTCATCACCGTTTAAACGATACGCAACCACTAAACGAAATCGCCATGGCACATTTGATATTCATGGAATATCATCATCATCGACAGCAACATCTACACATGCGGTTACTCGTCCTATTGTTGATTTAAATATTCCAACACATGATTTATCCTCACCATCGTCATCGTCATCAGCTAATCTGTCGTCATCGTCCTCGTTACTTTCACTACCCACAGAAAGTGAAAATAGTATACGAAAAGAACGTGAAGATGGTTCACATCAGATCAATGGTACTAAGTCTTCCAGTGGACTAGCTTATGTCAGACAGAGACCAAATACTCTTCTATCACAACGTCCTATCACTCCTCCACAAAATCAGATCAAACCAGCCGAATGTTTCGGTATGATGACTTGAATAATTTTAGTTTCAGTATAGAATGTTTGCTTTAGTTATTTCACCAACGTTGGACACGAAACCTTTTCCAAACAATATTGGCAATGGTTCACGACGAAAACTCGATGCTCAATGGAAGTCAGTTGCATTTCGCGTCATTGTACATCTTTCTAGTAATTGCGTTTCTTTTAGAACAAAATTATCATCTTCGGCTATGCCAACAAAAGACACGAATGTCGAGATTTTAACGAAGAAATCACCTCCATCACCACAACTATCAACTCATTCAAATCAAAGTGACACCGATCGATACTCATTTCGTCTTCGACAACAGCCACGCAATCCAGATACGAAACCGCAGCCATCGCGTTATCTCGAAACGAAAACGCAACAACCATCAGTACCTACAACAAATGCGAAACCTTCCCATCAAAATGCCGAATATACATCATCTAAGTCAACTCTTCGACCACATTCATCTACTAATGACCAATCGTACTCATCACCATTTCAAAGGAATGCCACTATCCGTCAAACAATGCCAGCAAGTACACAATACAATCGACCAATGTCTTCATCGGTAACTAATAAATATCTCGATGATCACGAAGAAGTTTCATCAACGCATCCCAGTTTAACGAAAGTTTATATGAATAAATCATTTGCATTGCGTCGACAACGCTCAAATCTTGTTCCATCAACAGCAACAATCACAGCTAAACCTGCACAACAACAACAACAGCAGCAACAACCACAACCATCTTCACAACAGTCACTCGTATCTCGAACATTACCATCACGTCAATTACTGAAGTCAACACCTTCCGTACCGTCAACCAACAATTCTGGTGGACAAACGAATCGCGCTGTTGAGTTACGTCGTGCACGTGCACAAGCTAAAATCGAGGAGTTAGCACAACGTACAAGACATCAATTACAAAAAAGTGAACAACACAATGACCTTATGAGCGCATCATGGCATAGTAATGCCAGTAGTATAAGTAAAAAAGATCTTTTTGGTCTTCGTGCCAATCCACGTTCGACTAATAACAATCATCTGTCTGCACAAAAGCAAGATTTGTCCAAAACCAGAACTATATCATCATCATCACATCATCGCTCATCATCAGCCAGTCCGAATCCTCTCGGAGAAACGATGACATCATCGATGCCTACGAAACCTTCAAAATATCGAAAAGGAATGACATCAAGTGTGACTGATGAAACACAATATCAACGAATGCACGGAAGTACTTTCAGTGAAGGAGTAAGGAAAAGAAATTCTCTCAACTGATAGGTAAAAGTAACAAAATATTCTTTAGGATCGTTGTGAGTCATTACGTGATGACGGACAAAGACTGGCAATAAAATTAATTCAACTTTCATCAGGAATTTTAGCCAAACTGAAGTAGGAAACGATCATTGGAAACTTTGAAATTCTTCTATATCTGATATTCTAGACCGCATAACATCACCGATGACAATGATTCGAATGTTCGCGAATTAGAACAACTCGTTGATCAACTCCAAACAGTTAATCGAACATTGACCAGTACGTATTCTATTGAATTCAAAGACTCGTTCATTCAGATTTGAAAAGCTTCTTTCGTATAAATATGTTAATATTGAATATGGAAGACTTTTTCATCTTGTACATAAAATGAACGACAAAACTCAATGAATATTTGCTTAACCTTGCATTGTTTTTCATGTGTTTTAGCGATCGATGCTTCATTAAGTGGTCCAATCAGTGATGAATCTTTAATTTAATTCGAATATTCAACGTCTTAAATGCTATGTTGAAGAAGAGAATTCTTCTGTTCTACAGTGCTGATTTCACTCTTATCTAATTAAATTATTTTATTATTTTTATCGTTCATCGTACTGGTTTGCTTCCGCTTTTTTTCTATTCAAGTCAACACCTACATTACTGAAAAGAAAATCAAACCTTTTCTCTGTATTTCTCTTTCTCTCTCAGTGTATATATCTATTTATCAATGTATCTGTGCGTAAGAAGCAAGACCGACTGTTTGTAACTACTTCGCGTTCTTCCAGAAAACAGACAAATAACAACAGGCATTGATTGAAATAAAATTTTTTAGAAAAAAAAACAACATCTTGTGTACTTTCATTTCTTATAGATTATTAGAAGAAAGAAAAACGAGTTGTTTTCTGATGTCATGCGTCGAAATCATCGTTTTATTCTAAAATGGCTGCTTCTAATAGGAATCTTTGGATTATTATTTATAAAAGTATCCGATAGTTTAGTCAATCTTATTCTATCTTCATCAGATAATATAGAGGAGAAAAGTTCCTTGTTAAATTACGAACAGTCTTTGATTGCGTGGGCAGCGACTGGTCAACGCTCTTTCAAGAGAAAAGTCCCGATGGAACGTAGTAAAGCGAGATCTGATTTGCAATTGATTGGTGCACAGATCATTTTTCGACATGGAGCACGAACTCCGCTATTTCTAATGCCCACTCTCGAAGAGGTAAACTGATAAATTTTGTACGCCGATTCGTTCGAAGATGGTTCTCCTAGGTGATCTATAGTAATGAACATGTGGAAAATTATGCTCCAGCAAAATGGGATATTAAACTGATCACGAAACGAGACGGTGTGATCGTAGCGAAAGAGAATATTTCATCAGCGAATGATAAGGAGGGAAAACGTGATCGACAATTGAAAGTAACAAGGATGTTTGTGAGAAGAAAATCTCTAGATGATTTCTCTTTAGTCGGTGTCTGGTTTATCAGTAAGAACAGGTCAATTGACAGCAGTTGGAGAAAAACAATTATATCAACTTGGAAAACTTATTCGATCGGAATTGATTGACCCTAAAGAGAATGCCGGACTTATACCATCAACTTACGATCCTCAATATGTTTAGTATGTGTTTGAGTTTGCTTTTTAGTGAATCGATTGATTCCATTTGATGTATTTATAGTTGTCGATCAACTTACATGGATCGAACCATTAGTAGTGCTCGTGCATTTCTGGCTGGTCTATTCACTTCTGATGAAAAAGATCACAAAATTCAAGCCACTGGTAAACCTTTCGAATGATGTATATATTTCACCTTGTGATTGTTATTAAATCAAATAGGTCCATTCGAAATTGAAGTTAACCATTTTCCTGATGAAGATCTGGTATTTTGTCTTCTGTTTTCTTTCAACTCATTTTCCATTTGATATTGCCTTTTCAGTTTCCTAACACCAATGTTTATCCTATTCTCAAAAACTGTCCAAATGTAATAACACTCTACGAGTCGTTCAACGATGATCATGATATGAAAAAAGCTCGTCAGACATTACTAAATCGCATTGGTATGTTCGATTCGTTTCTTACTTCAATGGTCTCATTGTGAATATTAGGTGCTGCTGATCAAGCACATGGTATTGTCGAATTATATGATGATATTGTTTCAAGACGAGTGAGCAATGAATCTTTTTTTATTTCCAGTGAAAATCGATCGGTCGTCGTATTCTTAGGCTCATAACTTTTCGGTACCGGAGGATATTCTTAACTTAGTAAAGGATTTCGAAGTGATGTCTGCTCGTGAATTTGTGTATAGAGCGTAAGTTGATTTGATCGAGGATATTCACATCAATTTGACAGATCATATTTGTGATTTTAGAACAGATATTGGCTTTGACGTGTTTCTCCGTTCTGCATGCGGTCCACTTCTTAGTTTAATTCGAGAAAATTTCAATTCAATTTTGAAAAACCACCGCGAAGAGAAAACATCCAATACAAAAAAGTAATTTTCCTTCATTCCAAACGACGATTTCATCATTCATTTCTAGACCTTTTCAAAGATTCTTTATTTATTCTGCCCATGACAGTACAATTATTCCATTAGCCATGGCATTCGAGGTACAGTCTTGCATTTGATCGAACTTGGTCAACAGAATAGATTTTATTCAGATCTTTCAAATGCGCTGGCCGGAATATGCGACTTATATCTTTCTGGAATATTTCATTTCCAGAACAAATCCAGACGAAACTTATGTAACTGTGAATTTTGCAGGCGAAGTAAGCGAAAAAGTCGCTCTCGAAATGCTCCCCTTCTACAAATCTTTTGTTTAGCTCCAAGTGTTACCAAATTGTGATGATTATTATTGTCCTTATTCAACATTCCTCACGAATCTAGAAAAACGTTTCCAACAAACGAAAATATCAATTTAACAATAACTTTTTCATTCTTAGGCAACATAAACATATAATCTTTTTTTTTCAGTATTCGCGAACACATCTGTTTTGACAATACATATTATAAATCTCTTTTTTTCATAATATCCGACTAAACAAGAGTATTTTCTCTAAAAAAGTTTTCTTTAGATGACTGAAACAGTTAGTCATCACACAGGCTTTGTCGCAGTTCATGTAGGTGGGTCGAATATAACTTGACTCAGGCGTAAAGATATGCATTTTCATATGACGAATAGGTGCTGGTTTGCAGTCTCAAGCTCGACTGAATCAATATTTTGAAACGATAAAACGAGCTTGCCTTCAAGGAACGAAAGCATTAAAGAATGGAAAGAATGCATCTGAAGCAGCCTGTATCGCGGTTGCTGTTCTTGAAGTGAATCTTTGTTATCACGATTATTCACGTGAAAAAATTTCGTTTTTCAATAGGACTGTCCGTTGACCAACGCTGGAATTGGTTCGAATTTGACTCTAGATGGAAATATTGAATGTGATGCGGCAATCATGGATGAAGAAGGCTATGGAGCGATAGGCGCTGTTTCAAGTATACAAAATCCAATTACATTAGCATGGGCTTTGTTACATACGCAAAAACAAGGCTTGATGGAAGGCGGTCGAATACCTCCATGGTAAGGGGGAGAGGAAATATGTATTTTCGAGCTTTGGAATGCCTTATGAATAGTTTTCTCGTTGGAGATGGTGCTAAACAATGGGCACAGCAAAATGGCTTCTCTTTAGTAGATAATCAACAAATGAAAACAGGTTTTCGATGTCTTTTAAGTTGCAGCGAATTGACTCGTTTGAATTTGATTTAGAAAACAGTACTTATATGTTTGATAAATACAAAAGAAAACTTGAGGAAAATACTTTGGAATCAACAAAGAGAGCGAAAACGGTATGAAACGAAGATTAATGATTTTGTTTTGCAGTCTCTTCTAGAACGATAATGAAAGATTAGATACAGTTGGTGCTATTGTTATTGACCAAAATGGAAATGTTGCAGCAGCTGCATCGAGTGGCGGAATTCTTTTAAAACATCCGGGACGTGTTGGACACTCTTCCATGTAAAAGCCGAGAAATTTTCTTGACAGTTCCATAGAGATTTTGCGTTTGATCAGGTTCGGTTGTGGTTGCTGGGCGGAACGAAAAGATTCGTGTTCGATAGCAGTCGCTTCGTCTGGTGCGTTTCGTGTTTTTCCATTTGAACGTCGTTATGTTTTTGTATTCTTTCAGGAACGGGAGAGTTTCTGATGAAAAGTCTATTTTCTAAATCAATCAGTGATGCTTGCTCGGTTGATGACCTCATACCAGACATGATCCAAACCTCGATAAACAATCTCTACCTTAGTAAATATTTCTCGCTTATTGTCATTCGCTCATCGCGTTCACACTTTTAGATCGAAGAATGACACCGACCAATGCAGAAAAATATGTTGGATTCATTCTTTTAAAAACAATGAGTAATGAAAACAATCAACAACTCATTGAATTTCTTTGTGCACATAATACTCAAACAATGTGTTTCGGTCACATGACGACACATCAAAATAAAGTAACTGTAAGAGACGTGCATGCATACATTCTCCTTTTAGTGTACTTTTCAATTTAGACGGTCTTTTCGGAATTAAAATCCGGCGAGTCTTTAGCAATCAATCTCGATTTCATCTCTTCAACATGAACAAATAAATGTTTGACTTTCTTTTCTTGTGAAATCTTTACTGTATTTCCCTTTTCTTTCTTTGTATACTGTTCAACAATAACAAAAAAGACAAACAGATGTTAATCATTCAAATATCGATAAAAACCACTCGAACAGACGAAAAGGAAGATGATAACAAGAAATGGATGTTAATTCGATCGTTTTTTGTTCACTAAAATTAAACAATAATCACTTGTATGCTCAATCATTCATCAAACAAATCACTTACGTATTTTTCTTCACGAAGGCCATCTTTGAAGTAGATAAACACGGGTGTAAGACCGTCTTCACGATAGTATTGAAGGACAACCATGCCATCGATATTCATGTTTTCACCGAGATAGAAACGGTATTCATCAAATTTACCGAGGATATCTTTGGCCAATTTGGTCATACCGGTTTGAAATGGTTGAACACGGTTTGGTGAATTTTCTTGAAGATAATCCTTAAGTCTAAACGGACACAATGGGAACAACTGATATGATAGATGTTTTCATCCAGATCAATCTACTTTTTTGAGTATGTTTTTAACCAATCCTTGAAACTTGCCTTGTCGAATGGTGTTTCTTGTAATTTGTGTGTTAAAACAACGTTGATACCGGTTACAGACGATGAGACGACACCACCTTCTTCACCAGCGGCTTCACTACCTTCCGGTGCTTTGTTTCCACCGATTAATGATTCATCGATATCGTTGCTTTCAGTGATGTTCTAAACAGCAACGGCTTTTTCAAAACGAATTTTCGTAACTTTCTTCAAGTTCTTACTTTGCCTTCGACTTCGTAGTAAACATCATCAACAAGTTTCAGTGGATATGAATCGCTGAATAATTCGTCACCAGTGAATATATCGAGAAAGAGTTTCATAATTGTAATTGATTAAAAATAGAACGAATGAGCAGCGATAAATATCTACAAAAACAAGATAATTTTTACCGATGTAAAAGAAGTAATGTCCACGATAAAGAGAAATCCACTGACTGCCTGTAAACATACGTAAGAAAGTCCAAATGACTCATAGAGAAACTTCGTCGACGATCAGACAGAAATTTATGGAGGTTTCCGAGATAAGATTTTGCTCAAATGTTCTTTCTATCCAAAAAATTCGGATATATCGAGTGAAAATTCACCAGAATTCTTCTGCTATTTAATCGAATTTTTTCCGACCGAGAAACAAGCAGAGGTACTCAGATGAATTGCCATTGGTCGAAGAAAAAAAGCAAACTATTGGGTTATTTATGGATGCATACGTTTATTTGCTGTCATAACATCGTGCGTCAACAGGAAAAGAGATGAAAACTATGACATAAAAGAAAAATTGTGTAACAAAATCATTTCGGAAAGAAAGTTGTTTTTTGTTAACAAAGCTACCATTAGGTAGCAAATATTCGATAAAGAAATTCTATTCAGCAGATATGTCACCAGCGCCTGATCTTACTGAAGAAACAATTATCTTAAATTCATTGCCAAGCACCGCTGTGCTTAACGTTCTTTCATCATCTGATGAACTCGATAACAATCAATTCAATGAAGAACGTATGGATCTCGGGTAAGTTGACTTTTCTAGTTCAGAGAAAGAAAACAATTGACTGTGGATTGATAGATCATTGGCAATGGATTCCATGGAAAGTGTTGATTTATCGGGAGATGATGAAGAGCCAGCAACAATCACTAAAGAAAATGTTGGTGGATTTACAACTTGTTCAGCACCCTCAACACCAACCGGTGAACGTGATCTACCAGGCGGATTTCGCCGACCGTCATTATCTGCAACAACGACAAATGATTTATCACAAATCGAAGTGACCTATCAAGGCGTGGGAACAAATGAGAATAATCCGAATAATGATGATGGAACTGGTCTCATCGACTCATTCTTGGGTTGTTTAAAGCCATTCTTCTCTGCAGTAAATAAAATTGGCGAAAATATGAAATATTCTCGCGACACATCAAATCCATCGTCAAAAACAACTGAAGATTGGATAATACCTATCGACAGTATTATGAATGATTTAGTATTGATCGGAACAGGTATTGAAGGAAGTGTATACCGAGGAAAGTTAAATGGACAAGATGTGGCTTGCAAACGCGTGAAAAGTGAAGAAGAAACAAATATCAAACATTTGAAAAAATTAAATCATAACAATGTTATTCGTTTTCGAGGTTTGTTGTTGTTACTTTCTCCTCGGCGTATTCAATTCAAACGATTCGTATTTCAGGTGTATCAATCTCTTCGCCATTATTTTATATCGTCATGGATTATTGTCCATATGGTTCTCTGTACGATGTATTGAAACGACGCCGAGAGAAAGATTCATGCACCAAACCTACCCAAGTTCTCGATTGGTCAAAACAAATTTCGAACGGTGTGAACTATTTACACTCAAATAAAATCGTACATCGCGATTTGAAGTCACCGAATATTCTCATTGCTGATGACTCGATCTTGAAGATCTCCGATTTCGGTACAAGTAAACAACTGGGAAGTAAACAAGGACAAATCATGTCATTTAATGGTACATCAGCTTGGATGGCACCAGAAGTCATTCGACGTGAACCATGTTCAGAAAAGGTCGATGTCTGGTAAGAGATTCAATCCTGAATGCTAGAATTTCAACGACTTCTTTAGGTCATTCGGTATCGTGCTTTGGGAAATCTTAACCTGCGAAGTTCCGTACCATAATATCGATCCAAATGCTGTTATGTGGGGTATGTGACGATCATCGGTTTCTTATTTCAACATTGGTTTTTTTTTTCTTGTCTAGGTGTGGGTAAAGGTAGTTTAACCTTACCAATTCCATCATCTGTTCCTGAAGGTTTCAAATTATTGATGACGATGTGTTGGAAGCAATGTCCGGCAAATCGCCCATCGTTTCAACAAATTATCAAACATCTAAGTATCAGCGAGCCCGAAATCGTTCTTTTCGAGCAAGAACAAGAATACGTAGAATTAACTCGTGTATGGGCGACGGAAATTAATGAACAATTAGCACGTTTGCCAACGATTGATATATCAGCGACTCTTCAAATGAGCAATGATGAACTTATGAAAAAACGAAAAGAAGAGCTGCAACATATTGCTGATATACGTGCACATTATCAAACAAAAGTCCAACAAGTTAATACACTTTACGTTGAATTATCCTCATTGATGATGCAATTGCAAAAACGTGAACAAGAAGTCAAGAAGAAAGAACGTGCACTCAACATTCAATCACATTCATCAACCGGAACTACGACAAATAAAAAACGAACATTGAACTCCATCTTAGAAGCCCGAAAGAAATCGGTACAATCAATCAAAGCCGCAAGTTTCAATTTAAATGATCCAATTACGATGTTATCACAAGTATCGAGCAAAAAAAGTTACTCATTCAAATCAAATACTGGACGTAAGTAACTTAACTAATTAGTAAAACTTATTCGATTTTGCCCGGCAAGAGAAAAACATGTTTCGCATGATGTAAACCCGCATAAGCACAGACAGATTGCATGAGGATGGCGAAATTACCGACACTTGCAAAACATGACGTTTTTCTTTCCTTACATTGCATTTATTTTTCTTTATATTACTTCATCTAGTGTCAAATAGTCAACCACCAGTCGGTTCACATCACAATACAACATCGACATCACCACCGACCGCACTGACAGTTGGTAATAATCAAGACTCGTCGAGCATTAAAACAGTTCAACGACGTAAGAAAGGTCTAGGACATCGTCGCAATAATAGTAAAGGAAGTGCGACATCATGGACACCGCCAAGTCTCGCTGCGATTGCCGATCAAGAAAAGAAACGTGCTTCGATCAACGTAACAGTCAATCAAATCTTCGACCCATCCATTGAAACCAAATCTCCTCTACCAACAATTTCTGCTGATATTGATTCGAAATCAAATACGAATAATCGTCAATTAAATCCCCAAAATCTTAAACTTGACCTTCAAACTTATTCGACAACAACACAATTATCACCAACGAACCAACAGCGACCTCCGACCATATTTACATATGCACCACGTAAATCATCGAGTAGTGACCCAGAAGATTTCGAAGCGAATCAACATCATAATTTAACGCGACAACGTCGACGACGTCTACTGAATCAATCGAGTACGAAAACAGCGTCACCATCATCGACGCGATCAGCCAAATCGATCTCATTCGACCAAAATACACCACTCGCAGAAGAGTTCGACCGTGAGAAGAATTTCATAGAAGATAAACATGACCATGAAAAAGGTAGTGACCTACGCAAATGTCCACGAAGTGTTAGCTTTCAACATGCTCCACCAACGACCAATGATCTCAGTCCATCTTATCATTCACGAACGTCGTTCAATCGAGTAATTACCAATCGATCTCTTCATTTCAGTGTCATTTACAAATATTTCTGCTTAGGCTAAACGATACAGCTCGTCCGAAGAAGGTGAAGTAGAAGAAATTCAAAGCGATGATTACGTTCTCGATGATGAAAAACATCGAGCGAGACATGAAAATCTAAATCGAGAATCCATTGGTATTTTCTCATCAGAAAGCGAAATCTACAATGAAAACGTCACTGATACATCATTGTCGAAAAACGAAGGTAAATTCAACATTGGAATAAATAATCAGAAGATTAAATTTCTTTATTAGGAATGTTTTCCGACGAAGGTGGTCACGTCTCCGATGATCGACCACAATCACGTGAATCACTGTTAAACAGTGAACCAGAACACGAGTGGCTTGATCGCGATTAGTAACATAAAAGTGACTTGAGTTTCTTTGAATCAAAGCTGAAAACGTCCATATCTTTTTGTTTTTGCTTTTTTTGTATTTTATTTCTTTTTTTTTTCTAATCAATGTCTGTCAGCGTTGATTGTTCTAATTAAATGCACTTTCGAATTCAATATTTAATCATTCATCTTTAAGTTATTCTCTGCAGCCTCTCTTTTCTTTTTAGAGCTTAGATTTCTCGTGTTCTTCGACCTATTTTTTTGTAAATGTTTCAGAAACATTCGCTTCTCTTTCCTTCTCTTCTCTTCTGTACGCATATAAACGAGAAATTCGTTCTTTTTTTTTGTTTGTCTGTCCATATACAAAACAAAGGTCCAATAACTATTTTTGTCTGTGTTCTAGATTAACAATATTAGCAACAAATTCGAAATCATGACGGATACCACTGTTTCAACAACTAATCCGAAAACAATTTCATCAACAGAAGAAACTGTTGCCAATGGAGGTGTCGTAACAACAACCACAAAAAGTAAAACGGTACCGTTAGAACTCTGTTTTTGTTTTCACAATTGACTAGTTATTTCATTGATTTTCAGATCAATCCGGATCATTCAGTCACAACAACAACCACAATAAATAAAACTGATCAGTAAGTAAATTGAATAATGTTACTCTTTCAGTTGATATTCGAATAATAATGTTAGAGCAAATGGGGAAAAGATCACGACCACTTTATCCCAAACAACTTCGTCATCGTCGTCATCGGATCCTGACCTTGAAAAGAAAATTATTCGACAAATTGAATACTACCTCGGTGATGTCAACATGGTCAAAGATAAATTTCTCAAAGGCGAAGTAGCCAAAGATAATGGTTGGATTCCATTATCAGTCTTAACAACATTCAAGCGCCTCCAATCGTTAACAACTGACTTCGGTGCCATAACGAATGCATTAAAGAAATCAGTATCTGGGCTTTTACAAATCGATGAAGCTGGAAATAAAATTCGTCGTCATCCAGATCGAACATTACCAAATAGCCAAGCTGAATTCGAATTATCATTACGTAGTCGTACGGTATATGTCAAAGGCTTCCCGAAAACCGCCGATGTTACAATAGAAAAACTTTTGATATTCTTTGAACAGTGAGTTTCAGTATTCACATTGAAATGTTCTTTGATTTACATCGTTTATCTGTAGATTTGGTTCGATCGAAAGTGTTCAAATGAAAAGACAATTCAAATCGAAAGATTTCGGTGGTGCTGCATTTGTTGTTTTCTCCAATGAAGAAAAAGCTCGAGAATTCGTTGACAAATGTAAAGAAACGCCAATCAAATATGAAGATGGTTCAGAATTAGAATGTTCGTTACAAGATGATCACTATAAAAAGAAAGCATTGGAAGTAGCCACTGGAAAGAAGTCTCCGGATGATGATAAACAAGCACGAAAAGAGAAACGAAAAGAAGAATTAGAAAAGAAGACGAATGAACATCTAGAAAAATTAAATAACGAAAATTTGCCCGGTGCTTTGATTCATCTTGCTGGTAAAACAAAATCTTCAACTAAAAAATTCATGTAAATTGATTTTATTTCAAAAAGGTATGGCTGCCACCGCCACACGAGAACTCATTAAAGAAAAATTCAATCCATTTACTAAAACACCTTGGATTGATTTCAACAAGGGCGATGCTGAGGTAAAAGTTTGTTAACGATTGGTACTCGGATGGAAAGTTGACACTTTTTCAGGCTTGGGTTCGATTAAATGAAGCAAACACAGCGAAGGATGTTTTGCAAAAAGTATTAGCAGCTGCTCAAGGCAAACTGGTCATTGCAGATAAGGAAGTCATAAGTCGAGTAGTAGAAGGTGACGAAGAAACTCAATTCTGGAAAGAAGCGAATGCAAAACGTGCTGCAGAACGAACGAAAAAAGGAGATCGATTTGGTGGAAATAAACGCGGAGGTTTCGGCAAACGAAATCGTCGAGGTGGACAAAAACGGAAACGTAATCAAAGTGAGTGAACACAGCCAAATAGAAAGAGAACATAAACATGTGATTTTCTCATTTTTTTGTTTATCAAGATGATGATGATGATGATGATCAATCGAACGATGATCAAGATCAATCAACAACATCGAAAAAAGCAAAAGGAACAACAGCTGATTAGATATTTCGTTGCTATTTCGTTGTCTCAAAGTCAAATGTTTGACTTTTTGTTTGTTATTGAACTTGTTTTCTTTTGTTGCTATTTGTATGTTGTTATTCCGAGTATAACTGATGATTATACATTGTGAACAATAATCCAGATTGTCAACTATGATGACAAGAATTGATTAGACTCTTGAAAAACAAATATATTCATGTCATCAGAGAAATCAGACGGCTTTGATCATCTAATGAAAAATGAAGATGCGGATTGAAAAAAGAGATCTTCATCTCGATGCAACAGGAGTTAATTGAAACCACAGCACTCGGAGAAAGCTCTATCATTGAACGAAATAATCTCTTATATTTGCTCATAATTAGAGAGACTCGCGTAATTATTGTACTTTGAATGAACTGTTCATAAGATCCGTACAGATTTAAAAAGAATCGACAGATTATTCCCGACCGTTTGTTACTAAACATTAAATCTTTTCTCAAATCATTTCACCGTAATTACTGATCGGAATTACTTTATAACGTACGAATAAAAAAATCTATCCATTCAGTAACCTCGACATCTGACCTTTGATATGTACTTGATATATTTACGACGCAATACGAAGATGACCAATCCAAACGAAAAGAAATATATAGACAACGCGTTCGATCACTCGTTCTTTTTCCGCAAGAGTAACGTCTATGTACAATGCTTAATGTGTTCGTGTGCTACATCTCAAATTGACATTCGTGCACATAGTGAATCCCTGACTGTCTGTTTTAGGTGAAGATTAAAAAATAACTAACGATTTCAGATAAAAATGATAATGTAATTTGTACAGACACTCGCTAATCGTGATTATTTTTGAGTGTGCAAGGCCAAAATTTCGCAGAACCAGGTTGGAGAATCATACATAAAAACAGGAGCTTCCGTTACATGAAATTTTCAGGTAAAACTAAAAGCGGAGACACAATACTCTTGGCTTCCCCACTGATTTCTGACTGGATCCCAGAAAACTTCTGTTTCTAGCAAACTTCAGTCTTGAATTCTTCAAAAGTCTCGCAGAAAATCAATTGGCATAGAGAGATAAACTCAGCTTCGAAAAAGACTTAGTGAATTATGTTTTACCTATTGTAAAAGGTGTTCCTGTTGTAGAATGTCAAATACTAATCGTAATTTTCAAATGCATTATGTTTGGAAGAACTTCAATAGTATTATATTCACAGGATCATTTAATAGAATTAACATGTTAATGATTTCATATTATAGATAGCACGAGGCATGTTATCGATATAAAATCGTTCCATAAGTGATTTATATGATGCTCCTGTATAGTTAAATCTTAAATCAATCGAATAAAAATTTATCAAATGCAAGTTATTCCAAACGACGATTACCAATATCAAACATAGCACAAAGTAATAACACTTGGGGATCGACTTTCTTCGTGATAGTTAATAATCTTTCATCAGATAAATCCAGTAGTTCATAGAGGAGTCAATCATCAACAATCAATTATTATGAGAGGAAATATGATTTAAGAAAACAAAGAGAGAATGAATGAGCCACAATTCGAGCAAAGTATTTTTTTTAAATGAGATATTATTTATGGAAATGAAAAATTCTGATTTCGTCCAACAGTTGTGTGCACTTCCAAAAAATGCGTGAGGAAATCACCTAAAGAAAGAGAAACAATCGTTTCATACCCACTCAGAAATAGTTTGCTCAATCAGATCTATTCTCGGACTCGACTCAGATATTCATGAAGATGAAAATTGGAAAAGAACTTCATATCTTCACCCAACAAAGCCTAAAGTAACAAAGTAATCTATCGGACTTGCTTATAATCCTAAGTAGAGACAATCAAATGCTTTCAACTCTGGATTAAGAAAACAATTGTCTCGTGTTATAACAGGTCTAGAAGTTTTTTATTTAATTTTTCAACAAAGCCGTTTCGGAATGATTCTTTCACTCCGTTTTCACACGGTTCCCGATTATTTGGCATAACACTAAACTTCATTTGTTACTTTACGCAAGCACATTGCCAATAAAGTACTCTACTCTAGTTTAATTACGTGTGGTGTTATGTCAATTAGCAAACAGATAGTCGTTCAACATTGACTAATGGACAGACCGAGCGTCCGAGAGCGTGGTCAAGGTGAACTAAACGTAGTGAAATGCATCGAAATAGAATGAAAACATAAACATATGATTTTTCATTTTTAGATCAAGATGTTGGTGATCAATCAACAGCACCAAAAGAAGCAAAAAGAACAACGGTGAATTAGGTTCTTGAAAAACGAATGAACACTGTTAGTTATGCCAATGTTTGCAATCTTTATTAAAATGGTGAAAAAAGTTCTACAGCTATTTAGGTTATATAGGAAAAAAAGACTAATCATCTAGAACGCTGAATTTAAAATCATATTTAAATATTGATGGATGTTTGAAAGTAAGTGAACATCAAAGAACTTATTCTTCAGCTTCTGGCTCAGCTTCAGCACGAGAAGCACCTCTCGTATTTCCAGCAGCTGCAGCGCCAGGTGGTACAGGATAATTGGGTTTATTTCTAAACGAGTATTGCATTCATTAGTCGGAATGAAATGACAGGCAACACTTACGGTAGAGATTCCGTGTTGCCAAAACGATCTCCAGTATCCATACCAAGAGCACCAGCTCCGACACCAAAACCAACACCTCGAATACCGAATTTGCGCGAATAACATTGTTTGCAATAAACATTTCCTTCATGCTCGGCCATTATCGTAACTTCAAGCATTTTTTTACAGAGACCTTTTCATCGAAAACGAAGATGAGTAACAATCAAAGAAGTAAAAGCTCGAGTCGACTTACCGCATCTGTAACAAGTCTTATGCCATTGTTTCCCAGCAGCTGGAATTGCTTCAGCATGGAAAACAGCTTGGTTACATCGCGGACAACGGTTAATTTCTTGGTTTCCGATCGGCATTCTAAATAAATGAATTCCTTTGACATCTGCTCAAATCTTTGCAATCAAAATAAAAGAATCATCTGGACTTCTATGATATCCATACTAATATAGCGAATACCCTTCTCAGACTTAAATAGACATGTCTGGTGCAAAAAAACTGGAAATATATAAGACCTGTCTCAGCTTAACTGACTGACAACATAGAGAGACAGAGAAGTCAAAATTAGTAATGGTATTTTAGTTTGCCCTTCGTTTTCAGCTTTCTACTGTATACCATTTCATCTTTATCGTCAATGTTAATGATGTACAATGTCCAAAATTGACACCCGTGATAAGAAAAAGAAGGAAACTGTCAGGTTGTATTCATGACGTGTAAGTTAATACAGTAGAGAAGAACTTGTCAATCAACAGGCTAATACAAGAAATGTATTTTGTTTGTTCGCTGCCCATGTATTGTTATTCTTTTTTTTTTCTATACATATGAAGTGAAAAACCGCAGAGAAGTATTCGACAGACGTAGAAATGATCGATTTTGAATTGGAAATGCAGTTGCAATTTTGTCATCTTTGATAATCATGATAAATGATCGAAGTGTAAATCTTTTTTTGTTTAATTCAATTAGCGATGAATCTTCGTGTTGATTTCTTCAGAACGATTATCAATCCTAACGGATGTCTTTAGCTGCATATGTTTTCTGTTTGCATATCATACATGAAATTGTATGTTTCGAAATGTGAGATCGTTCGTGATAAAGAAAAAAAAAGAAAAATCAAGTCATCAATCTTGAATAGATAAGATCGACAGAGATAATTCTTATTTCCAATGATTTATTGTTGGATTCTAACAGTGAATAATTCAATGAATGTAACAGAGATTTGTATGGAGCGGCAGACGTTTGCCTGCGAGATTTAATGAAGGTATTTATTCTGTTTTAGTCTTCTTCAAAAAGAATTTGAATCATATCCGAATCAAGTAGTTGATTTTCTGAGAGCCGTTTACTCTAAATACATGTTCGAAAAACACAAATGGCTTTTTTTTAATCGCGAAAATGGTTTCACACCGTTCCCCATTCGACTAATGTTGGAATAGTTGTTAAGCGAAGTTGTGGATCTTTCCGAAACGAACAATTCGAATCTTTCCAACTAGAGACTGAAAATTTCATTTGAATGCTTTCATCAATCGTATATTTTTACCTTGCTCGATCACCGACGGAACATTCGATGAAAATTCCATTCGATGGCAATAACCATAGAACCATTTTTACTACTGATTTCTCTACGAAATTACAATCTGAACACCTGAAATACACATCAAAATGAGAATCGATTTAAATCGAAGCATGTTGATTTGTATATACCAACTGTGTCCTTGATTGTCTTTAGCACCATAGAACAATACAAAGATGCGTTTATCTTTCCCGATCGTTTTCACAAGGTTTTTCAATTCATCGTAACTATTCACTTGTAAATATTTATCAGATGATTCCATCTAGAACGTTCACTTTACGAGTACTGAGAATCTGTTCATTTCTCTTAATGAAATCCATTTAGCTGTAGATACCTCAGTACGTTCACAAGTGTATATCTATGCATTATTTTGCAATGAATATCTATTCTTCAATTAAAAGTATATTATCTCAATTTTGTCGTACTCATGTGTTGGAATTTCGGTGCAGAACAGTCGATGTGAATGCTATCTAAGTTTTGATTGGTTAATCTTTTTCCCTGTCGGATGTCAATCTATATATGCAATACTCTCGTTTAGGTTTTTTCATTTGAAACAAAATGAATAACGATTTACAAGTTCGTCCGAAACCGAAATTTGGTGTTAGCGACGATGATGAAGATGAAATGTTGAATTATCAAGAGCTCTTTCAACGCTCGAATCTTCAGCCGTCCGCTCAAGTTATTCGAGAGCCAAAAATCAAACGCCAGCAGTCGACTGAAAATGAGGATAAAAAACGCAAGACATCCAACATTGATCTTACTGAAACCACAGTTATGAGACCAATGATTGTCGTAAGGAAAATTCCGTATGAAAGCCGAACATTTCTATTTCACCCGTGAAGTTTTTTAGGAACGAGATGTTAGTTCAACGCCGATTCAATTACCAAAACCCATCAATGATTCATTTCCACAAGCGAAATATCGTGGAAATGAAGACGATTTAGAAGTAAACGCTTGTTTTGATTTCGAAACATCACAAACAAGTCTTTTTGTCTGTTAGAAAATCACAGTACCAAATGTAAAGAAAGCGTCGATGTTTGCCAAGCAGATGTATCGTGACGGAAAATTGAAAGCTTGCAGAGAATTAGAAGAAAAGAAGACACCGGTGCAAAATGAGAAAATGTCACACTCGAAACTTTTAACTGGTTGTGGACTTGGAGAAGTGACTGGTGAACGAGAACTTCAACGTATTCATAACGAAAATGTCGAACGATTAAATTCAATGAATGAAAAAGAAATTCTCGAAGAAAAAGAAAAACTATTGAAATCATTAGGTAAAATCGAAAATATTTCGAAGAAGAATATCATTAAATCTATGTTCTTCTAGATCCGAAATTAATTGCATTCATTCGAAAACGAACCAAACAAGAGGGCGAAGGACTTATCTATCGACCCTCAGCATCCACTGCACAACCAATGGATATCGAGAATCAAAAATCGACAGCAGTACCAGTCGAAACTGATTCGCGTTGGCTTCATATGGACAAAGTTGAGTATGAAAAATTAGAATGGATGAAAGATTTACCAACGCCATCAGCTCAACGAGCGCCAGATGACTCTGTAAGATTTCGAGTGGTCTCAGTTGCTGAACAAAGCCTTTCATTTAGAATCCAGATGGAGTGCCAGCTCGATTTGATTTCAAAGGCAATTTGATGTCACGTACTGCTGATATTTCAGTGACGGCTGCTCTTCATCATCATGGAGAAGAACCAGAAGCAGCAGGGTATACATTGGAAGAATTATTTCATCTTTCTCGTTCAGCTGTTCTGCAACAACGTGTTATTGCACTTCAAACATTGGCGAATATCATTCGTCAAGTGAGTTTCTTTTTCAATTTGATTCGATTCGATTGATTTTCGTCTAGGCGCATACCGGTGTCTACGATCTTGACCTTCAATTACCATTAATACAGAAATTACTCGAAGCGGGCATTGTTTTTCTCATACGCTGGGCCATGGATGAGCAGATAGAAGCGATCTATATGGTTGCAGTTGAATGCTTAGCGAACTTAATTGCACCGCGAAAAGATGAAGTATGAAATTGAAGAGAAAAACAGAGTTTTTTGGGAGAAAAAGTTTTATCATGTTCTTAGGAAATCCTTTCCCGAACAACCCATTGGCCATGTGGATATTACGAACCGAGTTTGACACCAGCGGAGATTGAACTAGGTGAAAAAAAGTCCGAATCAGATTTAACCGACGTGGAAATCTTAGAACAAGATCTAGTCAAATGTTTATTCCGAATGAATATATTGAAACGGTCGGTTTATTTATTGAATGGAATGAAATTGTTACCAGCATTGACAAGCACAATCACAGTAAAGAATATTTTTCATATTCTCATCCGCATGGCCAGACATTCCATGACTTGTGCTCATCAAGTGAGTATCGTTGGATTAACAGAACAGTTTAGTAATATTGTTTCTAAATAGATTTTCGAAGAAAAGCAATTAATGGATTTCATTGTTCAAGAATTCATTCCGGAATTCGCAATACCAAATGGTAAATTTCAATTCGCATCTCATCTGATCTATTATTCATTTAGATGAAGGCCATGTATATGGACATTTGTTACCGGAAGCATTGAAATTCTGTCGAGTACTAGCGAATCATGGAAGCACTCTCACTTACAATCTGATCCATCGTTACGAGTTACATAAACGTTTAGGAAATCATCTAGTTGCTGCAATGAAGTAAGTGAACAAAAACGACATTCTACACATGTTCGTATGAATTGTGTTGTAGTCGTTCGTTATCTTCTGAAGATAATCAAGCACTTGCGGAACTCTTTTCACTTTGGCGGGTGTTCATTCTGCAAGGTCAGCTGGCCGATGAATTCGGGTATTTACAGTATTGATTTGTTATGAAATCTATGAAATTCATTTCTTTGGATAGTTCATTAATTCCTACAGTTATTCTTCCATTCTGTCGAACATGTATTCAACAAATGCCGAATATGATGATCAGTCAATTATTAGTTCAATTGATTGCTCTGTTTGATGCACTGATTATTCATATTACAAAATTTATCATGAAACATCGGTAAGTGAAATAATGAGCTAAAACTATGAATTCTAGATGCGAAATTTTCAATAGAAACTCATCGGAAGGAGAATCCAATGCGATCAATTGGTCACACATCGACGGCCTCTTCGATATTATTCTAACAGTTGAAAAACAAACTCTAATCGAAACTGACGAAGAGGTTTTTTTAATAGAACGAAGTTTTGATTCTTGGAAATCCGATTCGGTTTCGTTTAGATCGATCTCGATGCACTTCGAACAGTTGGTTTATCGTGTTTATCGTCGTTTCTCATCGGTCAACAATTACTGGTTTGTGCAGCGGATAAGAATTTCATTTCTATCAGCTTATTTTAGACAATCAATCTGTTAGATCTTCCATTAAAAGTGCAACAAATTCGTGTTCAATTTCTTGAACCACTTTTGCGATCGACATCCATTAACAAACTAATTGAAACTGTCAAATTAACGTAAATAATCTTCTATTTGAGAAAAACAAAATGTTTGTAGAATTTACTTCTCAGTACGGCAACACTTCCGACAAATTCAACTCGAAATCTTCCAACATTGACTCAAACGAATATTTCATCATTCGGTTTCCTCAATGCTCTCTTACGCTTGACCAATATCATCTATCAAATCGATAAATCTCTACCGAGCTCGAAGAAATTTATCACTGAACTAATGTTGACGAAGAACAGTGAAATTGTGGTTTATGTTAAGAAAATGTTGAATAAATTAACATCGAATTCGATACGGAAAGTTCCTTGGTTTGAACAATTCGAACATGTTTTTCTATTTCAATTTGTTCAAATTCTTTACCAAGAGGTAAATCCATTGCTTTTCTCAATTGAGAAAACAAATTCTTCACTTTTTCAGAAATCAGATCAAGATCTACCATCGATTTACTACGAAATCTTACTTGCATTACTACCATCCCTTTTGAAAGGTTATCATTTTCTCGCTCAGGAAACATTCAAACTGATTTTCTTCGATCTATCCTACTGGAAAAGGTAATTCCAATCATCGCATTGTCGAGATTTTCGTTAACAAAGACAATTTCATTTTCTTCTTTCAGATCCAATGAAACTGAATTGGCTGATTTATCATTAATCACAAACGAATCTCTTCATTTAGCTTCGAATCAATCAATAACTCTCTCTTCATCTCAACGCACGCTACTCTACGAACGTGCTATTGAACATCTTCCATCTTTGTACACTTATTACAAAAACATTCTTCACATAAATCGTTCGTCAGTTGATCTAAACATCTGTGATATTCATTTCGGAAACCTCTTTCAATCGGATGACTTATTAAAACTAAACATTCATTATTCCCATACGTTACTGGACATAACATGGCCGTATGGTTTACTTTCATCGCTTTATACAAATGTTCTGACAATTGCCGATGAGAATCAACGATTGGAATTGATTTTGAACTCGTTGCGTTTTGTTTATATCTTAGAAATGAAACATTCGTTAATTTTATACAAAACGTTGAATAGAACAACACGATTCTCGATGATTGCAGGAATCTATCTACTTGGTTCGGATACTTTTCTCGAGAAAAACATCGCTGATTACTTAGTAGCATTTCTCAAATGTTTCAACGAACAAAATTTGTTACAAAAACTCGAAACCAAAAGTAACGTTCAATCTCTAATGACATTCTTCGACTTGTAAGTCATTTTTTGCCATGTTTTCGAAACGAAAATCGCTTTACTTAGTTATCGTACACTTGTCGATCAATACGAAGCATGTTCATTCGGTGATATTCTCTATTCTAACTATCTTCTCGTTCCTTTACAACAAATCTATGATATTCAACTACGAAAACAAGTTTGGATTGAACATTCGACGGTGTTAAGATACCTTCGTCTCAAACCTGATCAAGTAACATTGTCTGTCTCTGTATTTGACTAATGATCACTGTGATGATTTTAGATTTTATTTCCATTAGAACATTTCTTTGCTCCGTATGAAAATGATTTGGAAATTCTTCGTTATTATGCTCAAGTGTTATTGAATGGAACGATTCAAAAGTCGATTCAACCATTTTTATACATGATCGCGGTGCATCATTTGAATGGTTTTCTATTTGATCAAACACGAACGGAACAGTTCAATTTGCAACGAACAATCATGAAAACTATTCAATCGATTTCAACAAATGACAAGGTTATTTCAATACAAAATGAAATGTTTTGCATTAATTCACTCTTTTTTTTAGATATTACACGATGAACTGGTCAATTACAAAACGTTTTCACGTGAAGGACCGGTGGTATTTGCCACTTTACCCTCGATTCGAGTTCATTGGTTACAAAAACTTTTGCAGTGATTTTGTTTTACATTTATTTTCTTTTCTTTCGATAATAAAGATATATATCTTTCTTTTGACGTCACATGTGTTCACATGATCGAACTAAGCCATTAGAATGTGTCGCCCTCTGTCGATCATTCAGTATAGTCGAATAAGAAATAAATATTTATTTACTTCACTTCATGTAAGTCACTATGGACGATCAGAAGTCGAACTTTCAAAGTAAAGTCATGCTCTAATCTTTCTGTGAATCATTTCGTAATTTCAACCTGTGTACACTATGTTGCGTCTTTTACTTAATGGTATTTACACTGTAACCAACACATTGCTAAATCGAAATGAAACCCAAGCACCAACTTCGAGATGGCGAACATTTCGCAATTTCCTCCGTTCGACCATGTCAATCCTTGACCTGCCATTCATCAGATCAATTGCTCAGAATGAGACTGTTTACGAATATGTAAATACACTGATGGCAAATCCGACGACTCGCGAGCATCATCGACGATTAAATTCGGGTCTTGATAGACACTCGCGACCTACTTTTCGTCGACGAACACACCATCGTAGAGGAGTACGAATTATTAGACCAACAATTCATATTCACGTTCATCAATGATAAACATTTTCATTTCTTTTTCTTTGTATTGTACATTGCATAATAAAATAGATGTTGTTGTTTTAGATAAAACACACTCTCTCTCTTCAAACTTACAAAATCAAATGGCTCGAGGACACCAAAAAGAATTAGCACGACAACGTAATGAAAAAAATGGTGCTGGCAACAAACCAACAACACAAAAAGGCACTGCTGGTAAAAAAAGAACTATCTTTAGACAAACGCCATTCTCATTTTCTTATTTAGCTGCTGGCTTAACTTATCAATGTCCGGTCTGCAAAGTAAGTCAAAGAGAGTTTTTCTTTTCAAATTTTTCATCGGATTATCTTTCGTAGTCTCAAATGGGTGATCCAAAGACCTACAAACAACATTTTGAAAGTAAACATCCGAAAAATGAACTGCCAGCTGAGTTGAAGGATGTTTAAAACTTTGAATACGTGATGAACCAAGAACGTTTGTTTTTCTTGCTTAACTATTTTTCTTTTGGCTCGCTATTACTTTTCGAATAAAAGAATCTTCTACATATTGATCAATCGATGTGTTTCGACAATTGTGCTGAATGAGCACGAGAAAAATAACTTTTATCGATTACATCGGCAACGATAAACATCCATGAAAATTTGATTTGACAGACTGGAAATTGTTTTCTCGTTTAATAGTTTCCTTTTAAACTAGAAAATAAATGAAATCAAGTCGCTAAGATACACACATGTATACATCCGGTGTAAGAAATTTGTCTTGATTCGTTCTCTCTCTGTTTGATCTTGTTGACAGAGAATTGTTGCCTATTTTTCTTCTCATTTCAAGACATCAAAACCGATCAAAGTGTGAGAAGTAACACGACTTCATTCTCTTGTTTTGTTGTTATTATTATTTGTCTTCAACTAACATCATTATCGCAACTTTTCAAAATATGAATCGAGTAAGTCGATACCATTATAAGTCAGTTGAGATTTACAAATGAGAAGGTAGGTTACGAAAGAAAACTTCTACATTCTTTTATTTCTTTAGTCTCGTAGTCAATTGGATATATGTCAGAATCGGCCATTATCGATACACAAACCGGGTGTTGTGCCGTATTCATCGCAGAATATCTCGCCGATCAGATCGAATCGTCATAAATATGAATTGAAACAAAAACTCTGGCCGAAACAATCCGTCGAATCATGGTTTACTACTCATTCCTTCGATGGTAGATCAATACCGAGTCGAAATTGTTGAAGAATCTGCTTTTGTATCTTAGATCGCCGAGCAGTATTTAGTTTTCTCAATACACTTTATGATGCTGACGATAAATGTACGAAAAAAGACGAACGAACAGCAGTTGAACGTCGTCAGAAATCGCCCGCGACTCGATTATCTAGTCGTTTATCCACTGCGGTTGCTCAATCGCCTAATCAATCTGCTCAGCGACGATCAAGAAGTAATCACGGACGCGAGAGTCGAGCATCGAAACGCGATCTTGGTGAAATTCTCGAATCACTAGAAAGGTAATTATAATCGTATACAAAGTTTTCTTCCGCGCCGAATAATTCATTTGAAACCATTGAAAATATACGCAGTCAACACACATACGATCCGGTCAATAAATAGAAAAAAATATATATATACATATATTTCTTTGCATTATTGACTCAGACTGGAGTGATTGATGATTCAGGATGTTTTCAAAATCATAACAGGGACCTTGTGGACTAGAAGTTTGATAAAGTAGATTTCTGCCTTCTAGTTTCCGCCCGGCAACTTCAGTACAAGAGAAAGGTATTCAGACATCGACGTTGTCTATCAATGGTGCGTTACCGGATGTGAATGGAGCGAAGCCGAATCGAAAAATCGAAAAATATACTAGACGATCCGTTACATCATTAGACAAACCGGCAGAAAACGAACAGAAAGAAGAGACGACTGAAAATGAGGAAAATAATAAAGTTAATCGCCGCTATTTATCTCAAACATGGCGTGTTATTAATCCTCGAGAAGATATGGAACCAACTGTACGTCCCGAAAATAATCGTTCATCATTTTTCAACTACACGAAAAAAGTCTATCCAGAGTACTTTTTTATTCATCCCGATTGGTATTAATATTCGTAACAGATCACAAACTCTAAATCCTAACAATTCAAATTTGACTTTTCTCACATTTTCTTGTCTTTTTCTACCGAAAAAACAATAATAAATTAACAACAAACATAGTTTCATGAACGACGTTCAATACAATGTCCGTAAGGATGAGACGCTCGCTGTTGTGTTGCAGTTTTACGTCTGGGATTAAGTGAATTGGAACGCATTGTCGCTTTATGTCGATCCAGCGGTGGGGATGTGGGTGGGATGATTACTGGATGTGTATTGAATCTCATTGTTTTCACACGTTGATTACCATTTGGTTGCACAAATAAATTCGGGTTGTTTTGTGCAAAATAATGTTGATACCGAACATCGTAATGTAAACGTCGGATATTTTCCCCGGGTGTTTGTGTTTTTTGTCTCTTTTGATCATCGGAAAGCTTTCGGGTGCATCGCGGACAAAGGCAATCGATGAAATAGGAAAATTCGTGTCGGGCTTGCTTATTTAGAGAAAAGTAGAAGATGAAACTGAAACACATCGACATCATCGACAGAAGATATAATGAATGATGAATATATATGAATCGTTGTAAGGAGCTATGCGTACTTTCCATCATTGATGAATTTGTAAAGTTGAAATCGATTGCTAATGATCGGTGTAGCAATGGTTCAGTTTGATTCGAATTTCCTGCTGCATTGTAAATATGACGCCATGCAAAAATGTTATACGGCGCCCAACAAAGAACATAAAATGAGAGTAGAAGAATTAGTAATAAAACAGTTCGTCGTGCATTCGCATTTGCTTGTAAATTGATTTTATAGAGAATGATTGGAGACGTCATCGATGTGTACGTAGCTTCGCTTGATGAGCGACTGGCTGTTGAAGAGTTTGATGAATGATTTGGTCCAATAGGTTGACCGGCTGTTGTTGTCGTCATATACGTACCAGCAGTATTTCCCACAGTGTCTGTATTGAACATAACCGCTGTTTTCATTGATTTTCTCGGTGGTAATAGTTGTGCATTGGTGTTATTACGAGTTGGATTATGTGGTCGCGATCTTTTCTGACTACCATGTTGAGAATCATTTGGATTATTTCGATTCATTGACTGTAAATGATGCGATTTAGTTGACAAATAGTGTTGGATATGCTTAGATCGGATAAAATAGATGAGTCTGGCGTGTAGAAAAAATGCAAATAACAATGGGAGAATGTAAAATATTAATAAAATGCTGATTAAAATCCGATGAGTGTATTGAACGACGCAATTTTTCACGTGTAATCTCGTGTGAATGACACGAGCATGAAGTAAATTACATATTGCGATTGGTAGACTAAAGATCATAGGTAACAGTAGAAGTATGCTGGAACCTGTTTTGGTTGATATGCGTCGACACCATATTGACCATGTTGATATTGAAGCAGATGTATGAGCATGGATGTAAACGAAACGATCAAATGCTCCTAAATATCAAGTAGAATAAAAATCATTACAGTTGTTGTGTACTCAGAGGTTAAAAAACCATTTACAAGTCAAGAGCAATCGTCGTATTCTATATCTTCATGTCAGTATCTTTGTCTTTGACAGTTAGATTTTAAAAGCAGATTCAAATATAGACCCTGATGAGCAAACTTAAGCACGTGCTTCGTTAAGTTATTCCTAAATACGTCATATGAATTTTTATTTATTTAAATTCGAGGTGAAGACAACTTTGATATGAACTGGTTTTCTTGACGAGGACGAGTATTTCCTATATTAAGCAAATTCATCAATTAACCATTGATTGTTTATAAAATATCTATTATTTCCCGAAATATTTTTTACTAATAAGAGAGGAAGCGAAAAGGAAATGCGTTTTTGCAGAAATTTCTTTTCCATCGAAAATTCATGATAATTTCATACTTAAACTATTTTGGGCTTTTTAAAAAAAAATAAGAGTCTACTTTTAGGTACATTTGCGTGTAACCACTTATTTGGCGCAACTTTCTATAATCTACTGTGAATTACAATAAAGTCATATATCCGTTCGTGAGGTGTTTTCTATTTCTTTCACCGTAATCATAGGTCACCGACATTCCAATCAGTAGAAAATTCTGATTTTTCTGTCCCTCATTTCCATAATAAGTTGAACAGATCAGATGTTCTGAAGATCAGAGCTCAGATACATGACGCCAAGACAGGATTTGCGTGCTCAATTGCACGTGCTGAATTAGAGAAAGATCCGATATTTTGAAATAATCATGCGTGAGAAGTCCATTGAAAATTTCTATTGAATATATCAATACAGACAAGTCGTCTAAGTATGTCTGGTTATATTTAGATTACTTAGTATTCGCTCTTAATAATATTCGTCGTCTTAAAATATCGCGTTTCTTTGTAAAAGAAGCATAGATAATGCTCAAATAAATATACAATAGAGGATCAATTTACGGTAAAAATATCTCTTCACTACTACTTAAATGAACTCAAAATGATCGTATCTATTTTCATCGAACGATTGATCGAAAGAAACGAACAACTTAATCGATAAACGTCTACACTAAACCTCGATCGAAGTGCAGCTTTCGTCATGAATGTCGCACAAATAATGCCATACGCAGCACAGCGATTTAATAATTCATTCGAATCATGAATTTGCTTTAATATATCAAAGGTGATACACGAATTATCGCACTTTCATTCCAAGGGAAATGCAACATCTACGTTTATGTTTCTTTGTTTCAGTTAGTTTAACAAAATTTATACTCAATGATAAAGTCTTCTTTTGAATAAAACATGATTAGAAGAACGATTCATATGTCACGTGTCAAAACATGTGAAGTCTATTCGTATTAGAAACAATCGAGGAAATTGTCTATGATAAAAACTGAGTTATGACGATATTCTTTTGCTTGAATAGAATGAATATTGTAATTAGTTATTACTCAAAAAGCTCGAGTTTAAGAACTAGGAATGCGTTGTAATAGAAAGAACACGTCACTCGTTATAGACTTAAAGAAAGTGCTTTACATCGTTAATCTAGAAAAGCTCATTTGAGTTTACCTTGTTCGTATATCTTATAAGCTTTCTATGCAAAGGACTAGAAACACTTCGACGTAATTATGAGCAATGGTTGCAAACATACAACACATGATAGTCTCGGCTCTCAATATATATTATAAAACGTCAGTTTCAAATATACGTCACTCAGCCGAATAAATGAAAAGAATGAAGACTGTTCCTCAAGTAATTTCATTCGGATCACTGAATAACCCATTAAATATTTCTACTAGGTCTTCAGCAAGTATCTCACAGGTGTTCAATGATAACATCATTGACATACGTCGAAAATAAATGTATCTACTCCAAGACACACCACATGTCTAATTATCTCTAGCATGCTTTTCCCACCTATATCACAATCGGCTGTAGATCATGACTTTATACTTTCATATTCAATTCCCTTTTCTCTTCAAGCACTAAATTAAAACACAGAAGTCCCTTTCTCGCATTCAACATGTTCTCAAGTCAAGTTTCCGTCTCTAAATAGACGTATACTGACTCGCTCAATTATGCGTAGAAACAAAGCACAGGAAATACGACGAAATTGACTTTCATATTTCTAATTAAACAGATATCCACCGCACATGGAAGCAACAATCTCGTAATGGAATCAAACATATGCAATTCGATAATTTCTTCAAGTCACGCTCTCGTTCAGACGAAAATATTCATGAACTTTGCTTATTCTTAATGACTGATGCTACTCACTCGTACCAGATGAAAACTTAGACATCTCAGGGGAAATAAAACGTTGATTGAGAAAGACAAGAACGTGTCACGTACCTAGTAGATGGTAGAAGATAATGCACGATGAAAAGAATGATTCGAAAAATGTATGAAAGTGACACAACCATGTGACCGAGAAGGAATATGACAGAAATCGATAGATTTCAGTTGGTGAATCTACTGAAACAAGACAAAGTTCACCTGAAACAAGCAACAAATCAATCAGTGAAAATTGAATCCGGAAAATCGTAAATCCTTCGCGTACTTATCGCTAAACATAGAACAATCCGATCGGTTTGTGATAGACGAAGACGTTTTGTATACAAAACTTTTGCTAAGCATAGATTTCCAATAATCGAGATAAAAGAAACAAATGCAATTAGATAAACGAAGAGTAATAATGAACGTGAATGTTCATCGATTCCAAATGTTAAAGACGATTTCTTATAAGAATTGTTCGTTGTATTCATTTGATCGAAAAGATATTCGAGTTGAGCGACACATTCTTCCCTTGTCTTCGTTTTGTGAAATGTTAAATTGCGTTTAGCCAACAATTCCAGAATATCCAATTGAGTAGATGGCGAAAACGATCGATTGGGTAAATATGATTGAACGAATTCACATTGTGCGAATAAGATGGCTGAATGTGTTGGATTGATAATCGGCGACATGGAAGTTGTCTTTGATGGGACAGTTTCTTTTCTGTTTTATGAAGAAAAAGATTAGAGAGATTTCTTTTTTAATTATATCTGGAAAAAAAGGTTAATAAAATGTTTTCAATGAGAAAACAAGTTGAAGATAATTTAAAAAATATTAATAAAAAAGGTACACTTAAGTCATTTGACGTTCGTGCTCGAGTAATTTGTTGTTTGAACAACATTGTGTGTGTCAGATACATCTAGTGTTTGTCATCCGCTTCACCATTAATAAATCTGCACTTAAAACGTGATGAGAAAAAGAGAAACGACGAGATAATTCTGATTACCATTGTCAGTTATTAGTGTGCTTATCTATTGATTTTCCTCGAATTACTCGGTACGTACTTGCAAAACTGATGAAGAAAGGGATTTGAAGAAGCTGACGTATGAGATTAACGATTCATCGATACGAAGAGAGAAAGAATTGACGATGTCGTTTCTGTTGTGAATACTTCACGCTGATAAGGCAAAATCTGTCTTCCACACGAAGCAGATCTGCACGAGTCAGAATGCGTCTCTAGTCAAGTGTCAATCATGAGTTGTGAATAGGAAAATACAAGAGTTTCGAGAGAAAAATCAGAACTAGCTGATATATTAACTCCTGGAAAAGAACGGCAGAATGCAAACGGGATGCATGAATAAAAATGAACGCTAATTTATGTAATCATATATTTACTATTCTTTTTCTTTTCCTCACGACATCTTTCTACTTGAGCACATTTGGAGACTCGGTTCCGATGGTATATTATTCAGCGAAAAACACATCATCACAGTCAGAAAATCATTAATACATCAGAACTTCCATTGATTAATTTCAAAAGAATAGATAATTTCCTCACACTTACATTGCATTTCACACAACGTGTGACGAAACTAATCTTTTTGTCATTGAAAACATTAATACGGGTCATTGAGAAGCGTGACTCAATGAAGGAGAAGGTTCTTTTCAGTACAAGGAATAGGTTGGCTTCTCGTGTGAAGTGGAGCATTGATTAATTTTTATCATTTTAATTTATCAATTATTCAAGTAAAGGACAAGATTGTTCAAATGATATATTCGCTTGTTTATTCATGGAATGTGAAAACAAAAAAACAATAACACTCATTAGGAAATTTTTACGGTTGGTTTTTGCATAGAAATTATTTCGTTTTTTTCTATTCAGTTCCATCAATTCTGTGTTTCCGTTTGAGATACTTCACATTCGACAAGAAGTGGAATGGCCTGTCATTGTGAACAAAAGATAGAGAAAGAGAGATCGAGCCTTTTTCCTCTATAACTAAATCAAGGAGTTCGCTCGAAGATATTCAAAAGGAAATCTGTGTCAATGTCACGCAGAACTGAGAAGTTCGTGCTGTATTTTAATAGATAACTACTTACAGTTTTTCCAACGAGGGTTATCAAAGACTCTGTACGATGACCTGTCGCACTATCAAATTAGTGAGAAAAATAGATAATTTCTCCTTGTATTCTCTCATTTCCTTTCCATCACTGTCTTACATTTCTTTTTTCAAAAAAAAAAACTTCCTTCTGCTTATTTTTCTTTTACGTTGCTTCTCTTGCCGATGGTGTTATATAAATGTAGGCAACTGCGCATTTTGAAATCTTTTTTTGGTAAAATCTTTTGAAGGGTCATCAAAGGATTATCTATATTTGTTTGTCAGAATGATAGAAAACCAAGAGAAGAAGAAGCGATCTCGCGTATCAACATATATTGAGGAACAAAACCGAGCATATCTAATTTCTATAATAAAAGCAAACGATACAATTAATAATGAACAAGCTATTGGATTAAGCCGTTCGGCACTGCTTGGATCAGAGTTGGGCCGTTGGGAGAGAAGACTTGCTGAGGCTGTTGAATTGAACCTTGCGCTGGGCCAATAACCTGTCGAATAACACGAACACCTCTTGGCTGCACGACATGCTGAAAAATATCGAACGGCGTTAATGGATATGAAAGACAGTCGAGGCATAATTTAGTTTGACATAATTAAATGAGCTTTTCCTACTTATCGAGCGGCGAGACTTACTTGTCGTGTTGCGAAAACCGGCACTAATTGTTGGATAGCTTGCGGCTGGTTGATAATTTGTTGCTGTTGTTGTGGAACACAAACTAATGCTGGCTGGGCAACGGGTGCTGGCTGAGGAATTTGTCGAACGATTTGTCGAACGAGATGCCGTCCTGGAACTTGTTGTCGAATGACTGGATATGCGCCAGGTTGACATATTTCACGTTTGACGATGACTTGACGTGGTCCTGGAGGAGCAGATGGAAGATATTTTTCATAAATTATAGTAGGGGGTCTTGGAGGTGGCGCAGGATATCGTTCAACAATGACTATAAGAAGATTTGAATTCTATAGGAGATTAGTTTAAGAAGGAAAAAATTACCTTGTCGAGGAAGTGTGACGGATGGAATGCGTTTTTCTATAATCAATGGTTGACCACAGGGTGGACATGGTGGTGGTTTTTCTCTAGAAAAGAAAGTTACAATGTCGAATGAAATTGCTATAAGAAGTCTTTGTCATTACCGAACGATGATGGGAGGTGGTGTCGGTGGACATCGAGGTAATTGTCGACAGACGATAGGGGGATCAGGTTGAACTGGTGCTTGAATTTCTATCGATGGAATTTCAGAGATTTAAAATAGAAAACAAAAGCGGATTGACGGTAAATTTACCTCGAATAATAATTGGTGCTGGAGGCGGTGGAGTTGGAGGTTGCAACCAGCGCACCATGATATTTTGTTTATAAACAACTTCTCGATTATTGGGTTTATAAATTACTTGTGGATTATTTCCACTCATTGATAAGTCATGCGCACTATTTGTTCCAGAAAGGCCAAAAATAGGTGGAGAAGGCGGGCGCATAAACTGTGGTGAAGACCGATCTGCCAAAGGAATATCATTATGATAACTGGCACTTCTGTTAACTGTAATTGGAGATGAGCGTTGATTCTAAATAGTAAATGAAGAAATAGAAAGATTTTGTCACTACTTTAAGTACGTTTAGAGAGAAAATTCTATCCAACGGCACTTACCATTGATGTATTCATTGATATATCATTAAGTCGCAAAGAACCAAATTGTAATGGTGGACTGATAAGTTGTAAATTCGGATTTGCTAACAGTTGTTGAACTAGTTCGTCATGTCTTGGATCTTGAACGTATGAATTTGGTAATGGCTGTATTGGTTGAACTAAAGGACTGTTTCGATGAATGTCGATCGACGATGACGACCTACCACTACCGTGAAGCAAAGGAAGTGAAGGAGAACCTTGATCGACTTGTCCTTGCTGCTCCAGTTGTTGTTCGTGTAATTTAAAAGCACGCATCAATTTCATCACTAAGAGACAAGCATCATCGGAATTTTGCGTGAGAAATGTGTAACATAGTGCATTATCAAATCCATGGAAAACAGCGACAAATATCGGCGGACCCGTGATATATTGTGCAAATCGATTAGCTAAATCGACATTTTCAAACTCTCGTCGTTGAATTTGATCAGGATTGCGTTGATCGAATTTATCGTATAGCATTCGTCTCAATGCACCACAATACGCTAAATGTTCGACTGGTAAATGTAACGTTCGGTTTTTGGGATCGTGCGGTTCGAATGCGAGAAACTCTCCTTGTTCATCAATGGACAAAGCGCCGTCTTGACCGAAGATATCTTCGTCTGATCGCGATAGTTGCGATCGAAGAATGTCTTGAACAAGATCAGTGCCATCGGCTGTTGAATGGAATTTCAATGGTTCAACAGAGACAAATTGAACAACTAAATGTTTCCGTTCTAAATCCAGAAAACGTGACGCCATCACTGAATGACTTGTTACTCTCCTCGATCTAATCGACTGTTATATGAATCAAGTTTTCAAATGAATGCAACAATTAAAAATTTTCATTACAAAACATAAACCCAAACAGATCAAGACAAACGACGAGAATTTCTTCTCGAGGTGTCTAGCCAATCAATTCTCATCAATCCCACTTGGTCACGCTTGGTTACACCCATTTCGAAAAGAAAAATCGTTGAAAGAGAAAAAAATCTCGCTTGTCATCGATCACCGTAAGTGAGAATCAGTGTCATCAACGATCGTATCTCTCGTAGATATACATGTCTATGTACCAAACGTTTAGAACAGACATAGAGCAAAACGACAAGGTTAATGGACATTTTCACATTGAACTCACATACATTAAATATCAAAATGAAAAAAAGCAATTTTATGCCGTGTAATGTCAGCAAATTTGCTTTGCTTATTGAATAGGTATTTAGAAGTCGTGCTGAAATTCCCAACTACGCAAAAGTTCACCCGGCTGAACTGTAATTTGTTTTCCGTAATCAGATTAGAAAATAATACGATAATGAAATTATTTTTACGAATTAATTAGAACATATCGAACGTTTATGGTACTTTGTTAACCGAAGATGAATCGCTTATGTCAACATTTTTTGACATATTTTTCATGTGATTAACTCTCGATCTATAACGAACGTTTATTCTCAAGTAACGCGTTTGATTTTATCAATTGTTGCTTGATGAACGAGAATCATCAAAACAAATCTGTTCAATCATCCTTCTTCATTGGATCGATACAGATTAAATCACAAACATTTACACACACACATTGATCAATATTTTCAAACAGTCACACAAGGGTCAGACCCACTAAAATCTTTACCGCGTTCGTCCATCTGTCGAGCAAAGTCTTGTTACATATCAAGTAGATTTTAATGAAGTATCAGAAAGCAGTAAGAACAAAAATCCTTTTAACCACGTATACATAACAATGACACGAACAACCATCATGCTGTGAAGGGAGTAGATAGTACATATGTAAACGATCTTGAATTCTATATTTTGAAATAAGACTGGTACTAATTCTGGAAAAAGATTCCCTGACTTCGAATCTAGTACATCGATTGTTTGTGTGAAGACTTGTGCACTAATGAATGAACATGTAAATGTATT